TTCTTAAAAAAAAATTAAGACTATTTTTTAGAGCCTTAGTTTTGCAAAAAAAAAAAAAAAAAATTGAGCAAAAACCTCAGAGAGCACTCCACTCTTTTCCCTGCTATTAGCATTTTGCATCAGTGTATTATATTTGTTGCAATCAATGAACCAATATTGATACATTATTAAAGCACTTAGTTTACATTAAGGTTCATGCTTTGTACAGTTTGTATCCATAGTTTTATAGGATTTAAAAAATGTATATCATGTCTCCACCATTATAGTATCATACAGAATAATTTTCATTAGCCTAAATATCTCGAGCTCCACCTATTTATCCCTCCTCTCCTACTGCATCATAACGAGAACTGATTTTTTATTGTGCTCATCATTTCACCTTTTCCAGATGGTCATATAGTTGAAATCATACCAGGCTTCTTTGATTTAGTAATATGCATTAAGATTTTCATGTCTTTTTATGGCTTGATAGTTCATTTCTTTTTAATGCCAAATATCATTCCTTGGATATAACACAGTTTGCTTATTTATTCACCTACTGAAGGACATCTTAGTTGCTTCCACTTTGGGGCAATTATGACTATAACTGCTATAAACATTTGTGTGCAGGTTTTTGTAAGGACATAAGTTTTCAACTTATTTGGGCAAATAGCTTACAGCATGACTGCTGAATCATATGGCTAGAGTACATTAGCTTTGGAAGAAACTTTCAGTCCTCCAAAGTGGCTAGTAATGAATGAATTATCTGTCGCAACATCCTTGCCAGCATTTGGTGTTGTTTTGGATTTTAGCATCTAATCAGTGTATAGTGATATTTTATTGTTTTAATTTGCAATTCCTTAGTGACATAGTTCCTTAAGCACGTTTTCATATACCATTTGTATACATTGTGAACTGCCTGTTCAGATCTTCATTTTTTTTGATACAAGTCCTTTATCAGACGCTTTTCCCAAGACTTTTCCTTATAGTCTGTGGCATGCCTTTTTATCCTAACAGTGTCTTTTAAAGAGCAAAAGTCTTAATTTTAATGAATTCCAACTTTCAATTTTCCTTCCATGGATTGTGATTTTGGTGTTGTATCTAAAAACTCATTGCCAAACCCAAGATCACCTAGATTTTCTCTTATGTTATCTTCTAGAATTCTTATGGTTTTGTGTTTTACTTTTAAATCTACGATCAAATTGGAGTTGATTTTTGTGAAAGTTAGTGTTTTTACTCACTTCTTTGTATGTGGATGTTCCAGCCCTATGTTTGAAAGACTATCTTTTCTCCATTGAATTACCTTTGTTCCTTTCTCAAAGATCAACTGACTATATTTATATGGGTCTATTTCTGCACTATTTTGATCCATGGATCTATTATTTCACCAATACCACAAAGCCTTAACTTATAGTTTTATAGTCAGACTTGAAGTTGAGTAGTGTTAGTCCTCTGGCTTTGACCTTTCAATATTGTGTTGGCTCTTCTGGGTCTGTTGCCTCTATAAATAAGCTTTAGAATAAGTTTGTCAATATCCATAAAATAATTTGCTGAGATTTTAAATGAGATTGCATTGAATCTGTAGATCAAGTTGGGAAAGGACTATCTTTGTGATATTGAGTTTTCCTATCCATGAACATGGACTCTCTCTGCATTTATTTAGTTGATTTCTTTCATCAGAAGTTTGCAGTTTTCCTCATATAGATCTTGAACAAATTTTCTTATATTTTTATCTATTTCATTTTTGGGGATACTAATGTAGATATTGCTACTATATGAAAAAGTTATAGACTTTTGCATATTAACCTTGTGTCATGCAACCTTGCTATTATTATTAGTTCCAGAAGTCAATTTTTGTCAATTTTTTTTGACTTTCCACAGAGAAAATCATGTCGCCAGTGAACAAAGACACTTTTATTTCTTCCTTCCTAACCTGTTTGCTTTTTATTTCCTTTTGTCTTATTGAATTAGTTGGGACTAATGTAAATAGTATGTGTTTTTAATTTCAAATTCCAATTGTTTATTTTTGGTATATAGGAAAGCAAGCTACTCTTTTTTCTTAACTAGTGTGGTAGAGTTTTATCAAATTTATCAGTCTTTTCAAGAGCCAGATTTTTATTTTGCTGATTTTCTCAACTGTTCTCCCATTTTCAATTTCATGGGTTTCTGATCTAATTTTCTAACGTTTTATAATGAGTTTATTATCCTTCTTTATTTTGTTTAAATAAGTTTAATTTTTATCTGATACATAATTGTACATACTTATGAGATAAGTATGCTTCAATACATATATGATTACTTTTGTTTTAACTTAGACAAATAAGAAAGAGTAATGTGGAACCTAAAGTATATCTGTTTAATTATTTTAAAATATTTCTTCTGTAATTTATGCCAATAAATTTACAATGAACAAAGACTGCTTAACTGTACTTAAAAAGTAAAATATATAAATAATCAGCAAAATTCTTATAATTTGTAAAAATGTATTTTATTTCATGCAAAGCTACATAATTGCCTATATTTTAACAGCAAATCAAATAAACAATTTAAAAAATTCATTACATCACAATAAATTAAAATACGACAAAGGGACTGCAAATCAAAAAGTTTGTCAAAACCAAACTGAGAGAACTTATTGTGTAGCTAAGGCCAAAGATGCTAACTTACTTATAGGTAGTACTTTGTAGCTTTTTCCAAATACATATTTGAAAATGTAGTGAGAATCTACTGAGAAAAATAGTTAAATTCACAACTCACTGAACAGATAGGAAAACAATTATCATTACATATCAGGTTGTAATAGCTGATTAAAGATAGATTTGGCATCATGCACCAAAAATGACCATAGTTAACATTTTGAAAAATTATGATCATATGCACATTTGAAAAGATTAATCTTCTATTTCACCTAATCAATTCAATTAGATAAAGGCAAAATAACAAGTACTTTATAATGCAATGCAGGAATTAGGCTTTTGGTACACTTTCTTGGGAATTGGTACACATAAAAAATACCAAGGAGATGTAGGAGTACTTCAAATTCAGACTGAGCTTTGGAATACTGTCCTAAGGAAATAGGTCTGGGCAGAATTTATTTGAGAAAGATTTTTAAACTATTTAAAAGCAATATTACAATTAGTTACTTACAAAAACATTTATAAAAATTAAATACCATGAAGTAACAACATCAATATTAGAACTCTTTTGCATTTTTCAGTGTTATTTATAAATATATATTAGATTATAGTAATTTAAAAGACAAGTCCACATGTCTCTACCATTCAAACTGTGAAAAATCCTTCAAGTCGTTTTCAAAATATGGACAAAAACAAATCCATTGGATTGGTTTTAAAAAAATAAATACACAGTCTCTCCCCTACAACTTGGTATACTAAGCAGGGAAGATGTTAGCCAGCATTATTTTGAGACATACATCTCTAAAGGAGCAGGTTGATAGGATTTATGTCAATATCAACTTTAAATGGTATTGTAAAGTTTAATAAATTATGACTTGACCTTACATATGTCTGCCGTAGTAATCCATTCTTTCTACTCTCTCACACTTTTGTAAAAATTCTTTTACAAAACGATATCAAGATAACCACACACAAAAAAAGATGTTCAGTGAAAAAAAAGTTAATTTTCCCAAAGGAATGTGTAAAAACAAATATATTTTAGAATATCGATGAAAATAGGAACATGCCAATAGATTGGCTTTAATAACAAATTTAAAGATTACAGCAAGGCCCCAATCAGCCTTGCTGGAGAAATCTTTTGAAAATGGAAATAAAAATTTAATTAAACAGGCTAAGCATGAAAGAAATTAGAGATGAGGACATGTACCCACTGAAATGGAAAGGAAAACAGGGTGGGACTAGTGCCTGCTCTGCTAGGAGAAATGGCTGTGAGAATCTGGTCTCCAAGAGCTGGGAAAGGAGAAAACGCAGGTCTTCCAACTTCACATTTTTATTCAGATGTTGCTTAATTGTCTAGCAAAATCTGTTTGACTACTTTAAGTACAATATTGCTATTTCAAGTAGTGATGTTTGTAGCTGGAAATAATTCCTTTAGAGTGTACTGCTCTTCAAAAACAACTGTGTACACAAAACAAACAGAAGAAAAATCTGTCAGCACATTAAAAGTCATACTATAAAGAGAGGCCTCAGAAAGGAAGAAAGGCATAAAGGAGTGAGAAAAAAAATAAGAAAAGAAAGATAAAACCCTACATCTATTTATTTCTTAACATTTAGAATTCAATCCTATGCACTACTCACGTCAGAGATTTAAGTATGATAAGATTTTTTTTTGGGATATGTTTTGTCACTTAGTGCAAATATACTTATCCTTGTGATTTGCATGTATAGTCCACTCAAATCACAAGTATAAAACTTCCTTACTGAACAGTGTGAATTATAATATGCAGAGTATGTTTTTCCTTTAATATGGTGATCAGTACACCATCAAGACCATTTCCTAAATCTATTAAAACTATTTTAAAAAAGAGGTTACTGAAAATACATTAAATTTCCTCATTAATATGCTAAAACATTATTTTAAAAACCACACACACTGACTTCCCTATCCACCCTATATTTCAGAACTGATAATCTAATTAAATAGTAGAGTCCAAAACCAAATCAACTATCAGCATTTTTTTGTTTGCTTAATGTTTGGATTGTCAAGTTCTCAGATCTATTCTTTATAAGGGAAAACCCTTATATGTTTTGATTTAGTTCTTACCATTTTTGTGAAATGAGGGCCTTGTGTAATGAAATTATTTTAAAGCCCTGGTATGCATCTGATAAGAGAGCAAATTTTAACAATTAAACTTATACTTTATTTCTTATGTATTTTGCAAAAATGTTCTATTGATAATAACAAGTTATTTATGTAGTAAAAAAGTTAATTAGCAACTTAGAGGTGATTCATGAAATTAATAAATTATGATTACTTTCTGCAATGGTTATTCTGAATTACTAGCTTAGGGAATATTCTGATCTAATAACAATTTCAAAATGTAATTTAGAAAATTTTAAACAGATATTTATTACCATGTAATAAAGACATCAAAAAATAATTGCCAGAAATAATTCCTCAAGAAATGTACTTTGCATGTAAAGTATATGAATTTAGTAGTAATATTTTGTAGTAGATATGAATATATTTTACTAAGCTTCTCAAAACAGAAAAATTTTTGTACCTACTACAATGTTATATACAAGGCAGTTTAGTAAATATTAACTTAGCTCCCCATCAATGAAATCAGTCTTCAAGGGTTAAATCACTGCCTTCCAAACTCAAGTTTACCCAACAAAATAACATTTCCATATGATTGTATACAAAATCCTATAAGACAAATTCTGTTTAAAAAATTGAACATTCTAAATCACCAAAAGAACCAAATGTTATTTTTAAAATAACTCTAAAGTCATAAAGGAATATATTGTTTGTTTGTAAAGTGTGTGTATATACATATATGCTATATTAATACATCAATTATTATAACCATACAAAATTTAGTAATAAAGGAAAGTGGTAACATTCCCATCAATTTATCTTAGGACAATTAGGAAAGTTAGTAATAAAAGTAACTAGGTAATTTCTTCTCTTTTTTCTGCCTGTACTTCAACAACAGCATCTGAATTTCATGACAAAATCTAATGAGAAACATTATGCTAAAAAAGTATTCTAAGGTAAGCCCAAAGACTAAATAAAACAACACTATTTTCACAGGACATTGTGATGAGTTAGTCCAAAAAGAGTTTTTGCTCTGGGGACTTATAAGTTTCTTCATATTAACAAAAAATCATTTCTCTTTCTGGGATGATAATTTCCCCAGTCAATATCTTCTAGCTTCCCTAGGAAAAACAGCATAAATAACAACATATTTTGTCTTTCTAAATTCCAGTACATAAATATGAACTCAACTCCCTCACAATAGCTTTGAGGTAAATAGCAAGTATCATCTTCATTCTGCAAATGAAGAAATTGAGGCACCAAAAGGTTATATGATTTTCCCAAAGTAACTCAATGAGTTAGTCATGAAATTACAAATAGTATTAAATTATATCTGCTCCTGGTCTATTGCTCTCTGACCAGACTTCACAGTAAAAGACTGTGTGTGTCCCCTCAAATGAGCAGTCTATATTACCCTCCTTTGCAAGTAAATTCATTTTAATTATTTTAAAGGGGATCTAATCTCAGATCATAAAAACCCAAAGATTAAAATATAAGACAATTAAGATGATGCACTATTCCTTTCAGTACCCTCATAGGACTTTGTCTTTTTAAAATTTACATGGTAACACTCATTAAAGAGGAAAATAAAAATTTTTAATTGATGGCTCAGGGAAAGTTTACACTTCAAATAGCATATAATCATATTGTTAGAAGGACCATATTATTTATCTTCAAACAGGGATACTTGAGAGTGAAAGTGAGTACTAGTAATAACTACACAGGATAACAGGTGTTAAACTGAGACTGTACCGGGCAAGCTCAAGTACAGTTTCTCAATGCAGTATGGATTTTTTAAGAGTTGCAAATATTTCAGGGATGTAAGAAACTCTCTGCAAGCATGCTGTGCTCAACTGTGTTCACTTTGCAATAAACATTGGTGCTTTAAAATATAATACAAACTTTGGCTTAAACACAAAGGTTAAAACAATCAATTTAAAATAAGCATGTTTAACCAAGTTATTATTATGTATTTTCATTCTAATGTAGTCTTCTATAAACCACAATTTATGAGACAGTAACAATAGTAAATGGATTCACTTTTTACTTTTGAAAGACCAATTTTTGTTTCTCAAAAAGCATACATATTTAAATATTAGAGAATTCGTGGTATTTTTTGGCTACTAAAAAATTCCACAACTATTTGCCAATAAAGCTTAGGACTTATCCTTACATGGGCATGATCAACATTTAAATCAACATGCTAAGTGATAACACTTAATATTGCTTTCTGAAATGAAACCTTTTATAAAGCAATACCAAAAACATTTTAAAAATCCAGTTACTACAAAGCCTGAAGGAATAATATATCACCTGATTATATACACATGCTAAAGACACTAACACTTATCAGTTGAAGTATAATCCTAATTACACATGCAAAAACCCCACTAATTTGCCAACAGATTTGAAAAAGCACTTTTTACATTCAGTTTTATCTGGTAAGTAAGCCTTGTTTTAAGACATGAGTTTTATGAATATGGTTATTATATGAGGTCTCCATTCACTTACTTTTTTTTGGGAAATACATGTTGGATATATTTTTTAGAGATAACAAAAAAGTAAATCACAATAATAAAACTGTATAATATCATTTGGGATGACTTATGGCTTCCTTCAATCTTTAAAATAATCCTTCTGAAAAAAATTTAATCTGAAACAAACCAAACTACATATTCTCAGCACATACTGCTCTTTATTATGAGTTAAATCCTTCCACTATAGCTGTACCTCTAAGGCAGATGCTTAGGAAATGATATGTAATAACTCTTACTAAAAAAGATGATACTCTAATTCAATAAACAATCAATTATTATACTAAGATATAATTAATTGTCAGTATCTTTTTGTTATCTTGACACTTTTGACTGAGAGAACAGAGGAAATTCTAGGGTGCACAGATGTCCATAAAGACTGTTGACCTTGGTTAGTTGTTCCATAATTTTTTTCAGACTTTAAACATCATCAAATATTTGGCTGCGAGACATTGAGAGATATCGTCCACCAGCCTGATACCTAAAAGACGAACATAAAGAAAAAACATGAAGCATCAAAAATAATAAATGAGGAGAGAAAAACAAGAACACTTTAAATGGAAGTGGCTATGTAATTTATAAGCACTAGCTGAATGCAGAAACTTACCCTCCAAAAATATTATTCGAAAGGACTTTATAAATCAACCAGCAATTATTTTAGAGCCTAGAATATATGCATGACAGAGAGAGGGATGTAAAAAGAAAGGAGGGGATATAAGACACATTTAGGAGGTTAATCAACTAAATAACCACTCTCAATTGTTGCACATAAATAAAATATTCAAGGGTTTTTTGCTATTTATAGGCAACACTATAGTAAACAACTTCATGCATATAATATTTTGCTTTTGTTTCATTATTTCCTTACAGCATACTGGCTAAAAGCATAGACTCTGTAGCCAGAGTACTGGGGTTTTGAATCTCTGACTTGCTATTTACAATCTGTGTAACTCTAGGCAATTTACTGAGCCTCTCTGGATTTAAATCCAATTGGGTCTGCAACCAAACAATAAAATATTGTTGTTAAAGTGTTAAGAATAATGTCTGACACCCAGACATATAGCTATGCAGCTGTTACAAAATATAACAAATTTCACAAATGGGATAGTCAGATATAGGTATATAAATACTGTTATAGGTAATACTTGGTGGCTCAGCCTGTAATCCCGTGCTTTGGGAGGCTGAGGTGAGTGGATTGCCTAAGCCTGCGGGATCGAGAACTGCCTAGGCAACTTGGCGAGACCTCGTCTCTACAATAATTCAAAAAATTAGCCGGGAGTGGTAGCACGCGCCTGTAGTTCCAGCTACTTGGAAGGCTGAGGTGGAAGGATCTTCGGAGCCCAGCAGGTCGAGGCTGCGGTGGCCGGGAGTGGCCAATGCACTCCAGTCTGGGCAACAGAGTGAGACTCGAACTCAAAAAAAAAAAAAAACTTTTATGATAATTCTTTTTATTTATAATACCACTAGTATTATATGAAGACATCAATGTCAGAACGGGATGACATAATTTTTAAAATCTAAAAAGCATTAGAAGGTATAAAAAGTATCAAAAATTACTTAATATATTTTTTATTAGTAGTAAAGATGAGCATTTTCCTTTACTTATCACTTGTTTACCTTTATTTATTACTTGTTTTCAACTTTATCAAGTCAATGTGCTATTAAAATTTCAGAGGAATGCTAGAGCCAAAATGTCACAGCCAGAACTTACCTTCCTGATTCAGATTCGAGAGGATCATCAGTAAATGTTTCTGCATTAAAATCCAAAGGTTCTGCATCTTGGAGAAGTTCTATTCGGTCCCTTTCAGTCCTATTATTAGCCCTTGTATATTTGGATGCTGGTTCAAAGAAAAGAAAAAAGTTTACTTTCCTATTGCCTTTTAATTTATGGGACACAGTCTATGGACTTACAAAAAGAAAAATCATGATAAGGAATCTGAATTTTTATTGTGAAGACAAATAACATAAGAAAAGATAACTACAGGGTTCCTTAAAATCAGATTAAAATTATAACAGCATAATAAGAAATAGCAAGGAAAAGTTCTCTAGTCTTGTAGCTACCTTAAGTTCAGAAGCAGATACAATGCAAATACTTAACTACTATAACTCAGAATTAATATTTAACTATGGTACCATGACCATGAATTGTTCATTATCAAATAAGGTTTCAGTTGATTTCACAGTAAACCTCATTTCTTGGCTAGGACTTTAAGGCCTGAGTCTCAAGAAAGGCCTGAGTCTTTTTCCCATGAGGCAAGAGTATGGGGCCACACTGGCCAATAGAAATGAAATGCAAATCCAATATTTAATTTGAAAATTTCTAGTAACTACATTGAAGAGTAAAAAGAAACAAGTAAAATTAATTTAATATATTTAATTCAACCCAATAAGCAAAATATTATCATTTCCACATGGGAAACCAGACATGTTGCAGTTGTTCAACTTCCACATGAGGCTGCTGGTTATCATACCAGTCAGCACAGATCTACAAAACTAACTCGCCCTTCCCTACATGGATGATTTCTTTATAAACAAACTAAATTTTCACAGTGTTTTGAGCAGTACAAGTAGCTTTAACACAGCTTTACAATAAGTTCTTTTTGAAAACTTAAGGCAAGCCAATTCTATCATATTTATATCTTTGTCATCTGTTCTAAATGCAAGCTTCTTCATCTTTTCTTTCACTCATTCAGCTAATAGCAATTGCCCACCACATGCCAGGTTCTCTCTAACTCTTCATCCTAAGACTCTGTGCCTCCTTTTCTTGTAAGCATTCTCCCATATTGCCAGATCTTTTTTTTTTTTTGGCCATTAAAAAGCACATTTTTTTCTTGACACATTCTGCAAGTTTTTATTAACAGATAAACTCAAAGCTCCAAACATGTAAACAATTTATCCTACATTATGAAACAGCAAAGTCATGTGATAGTAATATAATGAATCATAAAGTATAGCCATTCCCCGAAAAGAGATTAAGAATAAAGAAGATGTTTGAAGTGCTGCATTCTTGAAGTAGTTCAAATTTACCCAAGCTTATGTTAGGCCATTGAAGCTTAGAGCAATGAGCTAAGGTAGAACTTAATTAGGAATACTGAAACTTAGATTTATTTGCTGCATTTATCTTCTTGTTGGACATCATAATTGGAAATCCCAGAATCAGAAAGAGATAAAAACAGAATTTTTCCTGATTGAGGTTTTATACTCTGCAAGGAAAAACAACAACAAAACAACTAATATATTCCATTTCAGTCCTCCTAGGTCAACTAATAAAGGATCTCATAATTCAGGGACACACTTTGACCAAATTTAGTTTTATCACATCTAAAAAATTCATTTATATAACAAGTATCAGATCAAAATATAGAACACTCTGTATAATGACCCTGCAGAAAATACAAAAATAATTAAATTTGGTGGAAATAAAACGTTAAAACTGCCTAAAATTGAAAGGATGTAATGTTAATGTACAATTACATTATCATTAGGTACAGCTGCTCTCAGATATCATGTTTTACTGTTGAGATGAGAGGTACTCAACATGGATCTCCTAATTCATGTCACTATGAGGAACCCTTAAAGTGCTCCATTTCTTATGTTTGGTACGCCAAAAAATTCTCCTGGTCTAACTGTCCTGTCCTTTCAGAGAAGCATAATGGCCAGTCATTCTGAACTTTTAGAGAGCTTTTTTGAGACTTTTCCTCCAGAGGATTAAAAAATTTAAGAATTATAGGTTCAGAAATATGCCCTCATAATGGTCTAGATTACAACAAAATATTAAATCAAGTTGAAATTAAAGTTTTTTACAATTCATTTTATACCTTAAATTTCAATCATTACAAAGCCAATGTTCTCATGAAAAAGTAGAAAATGGAGTATAAAACTCAGTAACACTTATATGTCTCAAATATAAGTGCAGTGAGTATTAAACAGAAATGACAATATAGTAACAAAAACAGAACTTGTAGATCTGCCTAAATACAATTAACTCTATTTCTAGGAACTGAGATATATGGGAAGTTGAATGTTTGCTCTCTCAGCAATTGTTACAGTATCAGTTCAACACTTTTCAAACTCTAAAGGAGGTATTTCTCTATTCACGCGGACTTCTTAAGTATGCATATGCTGAGCTGTAAATAGCCTGCCTTTCATGTTTGGTTTCTAAGCACTATATACGTAGACTGCATATCAGTCTATGTGACCAGTGACCTTCTCTTCAGAAGCACTGGCAATGCATTTGGCAAATGTCTTAAAACATGAATTGTAAATTAACATAGGTAGAATCTTGATATGAAGAGTCCCCAGTACTTATTTTTTTAATGTTCACATTAAAGGAAAAAACTCTACAATTATCAGTTCTACGTCCAGAAAATTCAGTTGAGGTAACCTCTGCAAGATACAGCTCCACCTTGACATACAGTTCTGACCCCCTTTTTGACTGGCTGTGGTCAATAGAATCTAAAGATACATCTCCAGAACCTTTCATTCAACATTCAAAAATTATCTCTTCTCCAGCATTTGTGGTTCTTATGGGAAACAATGTTATTCAGGGAAAATGGATATCTGGGTTATCAATGAAAATACTGAACACTTTAAGATTCAGGTCACAACTGTAATTCACAAAATGAGACACATTTCTATATCAATTCATCAAATTCATAGTCCAAATCAAAAATATATGTAATTACTTTGCTGTCACATAACTGCCCCCATTTCTCATCTTCTTCACTTGTGATTCTCTCTCCAACATATTTCATAACAAAACTCATTCTTTTAATCTTCACAAGGGTTTTTATACTCCAGTCATAGCCATTACTATTTCAAAAGTTGAAAAGCGAGAACTGTGTGCTTTTTTAATACAATCCTACTTGGATAATCAGGTCCACATTGATACCTTGAGTTGCATTCATAGATGCAGGTAGCAGCTGAGATTTAATATGTTTGGTTTTATTATAAGCCAAAAGAACTCCAGCTTCAACAGCACAACATTTTTCAAAGATGCAATCTGTGCATGAACAACCAACAGAGCTGGTTTGTATTCCTTAATGTAGTAGAAGTTTGAATATGGACCCTCTAATCAATAATATTTTCTTTTTGTTTTTTTGAGTTGGAATCTCACTCTGTTGCCCAGGCTGTAGGGCAGTGGCATACTCAAGGCCACTCCAGCATCGAGCTGTGGGGCTCTGGCGATCCTTCTACTTTAGCCTTCCACGTAGCTGAAACTACAGGCACACACTAGCATGCCCAGCTAATTAGTGTTTTCAATAAATATCATTCCTTTATGATTCTTTTTTCCATTGAGTTCATTTTGCCACCTCTGTAGAGCTATCCTGTCTTCAGCCTTCTTTATAAGGTACTCAGTAATGGCAGGTTTCAAAGTTTTGTTGTCTTTTGAAGTTACTGCTTTGCTTTTCTTTACCTGAGATAAATAACTATGATTGTCATTGCAGAATTGCTGAAACAGTAATGGGAATCTGAGATTCTGCAAATGTTTCCAAGTATTTGTAGAATCCAGCCATCTTTTCTGTTTTACAAGATAACATTCCCTACTCTTCTTGCACCTTGGCCCCAGCTGCCACCATCCTTGTGGAGCTTTCATTCAATTGATGAAGTATGAGGGATAGCTTAGCAGAGCAGAGGCCTGCCCTGCCTCTGCCCGCCTGGCTGGGACTCCGTAGCAGGAGGGGGGCTGGGGGAACTGGAACTCACCCAGATCTTTCAATTCTGTAAACTGCCACTCTGTGGTAAGCAAGCATCCAAATCCCTTTACAGAATCCTCTCTAATTCCTATCTTTAACTAAAACATCAGGCTTCTCTTATTTATTATACCACAAACATCTTCAAATAAGTCATTTTCATCTCCAGGATTACTGCCTTATCTAAACCAAAAATCTCATCATGATTCTTCCCAGATTGAAATCTTACCTTCAGGAAGGACAGAAATCCAAACTTTTGAGCATGACAATGCCTGCTCTCCAACTATCTCTGAGGCCTCCCTTCTTATCAGCCTTCTCATGCTTAGGCTCTAGTTGCAGAGAAAAACACACATTTCTTCAAAGGTTCTCTCATGCTACAGTGTCCTGCACTCACTCTTCCTTCTGTTTAAAACACCCTTTACCTGGCTAAGTACTATTCGTTCCTAAATACCCAGCTAAATATTTATTGGTTACAGAAATATTTCTTTATTATAAAAGTCCTTTCCCAAGACAGAACTCTTTCCAATCTCCAAGATGAGTTCATTCAGCATTCGGTGAGCATCCTTCTATCATAGATCTCATGACAAGTCTACAATATATAAATAGTGCATCATTAAAATATTTTTAACATTTCCATCTAGCTATTTTGTATAGTTTCTATCTCTCTGGTGAAATTCTCCCCCCATCTGTTGTCCAAGCTTTCCATTAGATCTCTTAAAATACTTATTGGGTATTTTAAAGTCCTGCACTGTCTGATAATTCCAATATTTGAGCCTTCTCTAGCTCTGGTGTGTTGACTATTTTATGTTTTGAAAATGGTTCATATTCTCTTACTTTCTTGTGCATCTCATAATTTTTCATTAAAAGACAAATATTATATGTCAAAAAAAAAGAAGAGCTGGAGATAAATAATAGTCTTACCAGAATAGGCACATCTCTTTTATTAGATCATCAATGTTGAAGGACTGAATCAATCTAATCTACAGTTGATCTACAATTGGATTTTGTTGTTGCTTTAGATCCTGTAAGTCCCCCCAGACTTCACATTTCTCTAGCGATGAACTATCATTACTTTGTGCTTAGCAGGGCCTCAAGTGTCAGATGGTTTCTCTCAGTATTCTTTTTCCACCCTCAGATTTCAGTAGTCTCTGCAAGCTTCTACTATCCCTCCAACAGTAGACTACTGTTGCTTGGCTCTCAGTCTAAAACTTGTAGTTGGGTGCTCAGTTTTCCTGTTCCATCCTCAGTCATAAGCAGGCCCCTCTGCACCAAAGCCTCAGAGGTGGGAATCTTGCAGTAATCTAACATCTCTCCCAAATGACCTCTTCCTTTTACTAAGTGCAAGGTCCTAGGCAAAAACAGGTTTCTTGAAAGCTCCCTAGGGACAAATAGCGTCTGCCTCATGTCAATGCAGGGTCAGTGATATGGGAAGGTCCCCTAATCTTTCCTGATGGCAGATGGTTTCTGCCTGGTATCAGTCCCTCACCTAATTATGAACATCATGAGAACAAGAAATTTACCTTCTTTGTTTGTATCACCGTATACTTGGAATATGCCTGAAATATATGGGTTAGTCAATAAATTACTATAAAAATGACTGAATTAGCTGTATATACTAAGAGAAAAGTTTTTTAAAAATCAAGGTAAATTGTAGAAATAAATACCTGCTTAGAACATACTTGGGATAAGTGCTTAAATTATTTAGGTTAGTATACTTACAACTGTTCATTTGATGTCACACATCCTTTCCCTACCAGAAGGCATTTGAGTCTCTCCTTCCTTCTATATACTGAGGAAAAAAGTCATTGCAGATGCGCATTTACAGTTTTACAAAGGCATTCCTGGATGAGTATCCTCTCAGTCTCCATGCAAGCAAGCATAAGATAAAAATTTCCAAGTGAACTAGGAAATAAATGACTTACACCGGTTGGTACTAATATCCGAGAAGTTTGACTCTTTGGGGTCAGTGTGAATATTTCTGTTTCTAGTGGAATCTTCTCTATTGTGTCCGTAGCGTTCTTTCCATTCCTAGAAAAGAAAACAAATGAATATATAACAAAAGACCAGAAAATAATTCATCAATGTGAACAGATTATATATGCTGAGTAATATAATTTAATTCTTCTACATCAGAAATTCATTAGTCAGTATAATTATCACAGTACCTTTAAAAGCATCATAGGTCAAAGTTTTTATCTTTACATGATTATAAAGACACAGTCTTTATAAACTTTAACTTTTAAAAATAAAGACACAAGCCAGGCACAGGGGCTTACAACTGTAATCCCAGCACTTTGGGAGGCAGAGGTGAGAGAACTGCCTGAGCTCAGGGGCTCGAGAACAGCCTGGGCAACATGGCAAGACCTCGTCTCTACAATAAAAAAATAAAATAAAATAAAAAATCAGCCAGTCGTGGTGGTACATGCCTGTGGTTGTAGCTACTTGGAAGGCTGAGGCGGAAGGATCACCTGAGCCCAGCAGGTCAGGGCTGCAGTGGCAGTGAGCATGCCACTGCACTCCAGCCTCAGTGACAAAGTAAAAATCTGACTAAAAAAAAAAAATTAAGATATTTACATTTTTGCTAACTATGACTATGATAAATTCTTTTATCTAAAATGTAAAACAATATTACAACTATAACAAGCTTACATTGACTATGTCAAAATTATGAGAACTCATGATGATTAATGTTAACAAAATTTTCTTCCACTCAAACTACAATTATTAGAGCGCTAAAAAGTCAACAAGCAAAATTAAAATTATATACAAACATAATTAGACTGTGACATGGCATCATGAGTTATCTTAAATGCAGTGAAAAACAGATGGACTGGAGTTCTACTCGTTAAATTCTTAGACTTGAAAGGACACTAGAGGTCACCTGATGCAACCTTCCATGCAGTGCAGGGTCTCATTCTAAAACATTCATTCTAGATTCTTTTTTGGCTGTCTGACTAGATGACATGTAATTTTCCATGTCTGAGCAGTCTACTGAAATTTGGGAAACTGTAGAAGTTAGAAATTAACAGAGATGAAAAATCTGTTTCCAGTAACGTCTACTCTTTGGTTCTAGTTATGCCTTCTGAAATAAAGAACAGGTCTCCCTTTTACATAACATATACTAAGATACACAAAGACAACTATCAAGTCTTCTGCTAGACTTTACTTCACCAGTACCTATACCCAGGTGTTAAAAATTTGTTGTAACTGTGAATAAATTTTTCTCATTTTTTGCCTTTTCATTCTTGAGGAGGTTAGTTTGCCTCAGAAAATGGAGGCCTGAAGAAAAACTAAGGAGTACAATTATTACTTTACAAAAAATAACAATTTTAAAGTAATCAAAATCACTTTAATAGAAAGACTGCATGAATTTATTCATTCATTCAGCAAATATTTATTAAGCATCTACCTTAGGCAAGAAGCTGCTGAAACGCTGGACACAAATGAACCTATTTATTCCTAGAAACTTTTAGAATAGGTCTGAAAGAACACCTAGCATGTATTTATGAAAGAATTAAAATTCCTTTTCTTTAAAAATATATCCTATACCACTTTCCCACTGTTTTTCTGTCATTAGCTGATTATTTCAAATCAATAAGATCCTTAAGATATTTCACATTAATCTTTAGGATACAGCAAATTAATAAACACTGTACTTACTCTTCTTCGATTTTCACCTTCTTCTTGCCTTTGCCTTTTTCTCTTTTCTAGAAACAGAAAAATAGTCTAAATTTAGTAAAATATAGTTTAATCAGATAAAATAACAAAAATATCAGGCTATAACCAATATTTCCTTTAAATTACTACAATTTTATAGGTTATTGTTGGAAAGGATCTGAGATCACCCATTAGGGAATACCTTCTTAATTTCAGTTGGAGATGGCCCTGTAGAATCTGTTCAAATAACTTTAGTGAAGAAAAGAGTTCTTTCTCACAAAGATCTGAAATTTTTTTCTCTGAAATTTCTATTCTGTTTCAGTCCTATCTTCTAAGTTAAGTTTATACTTCTTTTCTGACTGTATAAGAGTCTTTTTCCTTTTACTCTCTTCAGGATATAGACAGAATTTTTTGTTGTCCCCCCCATATAGTATGCTCTACAGACTCATAATTCTGGCTGTTCTTCTCTAAATTTCTTCTAATTTATCAGTCTTATTCTTAAAAATCTTATGCAGGACTGGATGTGCAGTGCCATATGAGGTCTAATAGAAAAGCATGTAAAGGCTATACTAGATTATTTTAAAGGCACAGTATATCTTGGCTTACATTCAGCTATGATCATACAAAAGCCCCAGACCCAGGTAGAAAGAATGCTTGAGAACCAACATCCCCAAAGTCAAGCTTTCCCCCCTCCATCCTACCATCACTTGGATATCAGTAAATTTAATACACTCAGTTTTGTGATTTGATTCTAGTAGAGTGCCATGCATTCTAACAGACTATTAATAATTATCACATTCTAAAACAAAAACAGCATTGGTTTGAAAGATTTTCCATGCAGTATCAAATAGATGATTTTTTAAATGAGTTTTACAGTTATATAGAACTTGATGAATATATTTCAAGACAAATATGAAAAAGTCTCCAAGACCATATAAGGGTATTATTTAGTTGCAGACATACTAATAATTTATGCTTCTGAAATTCTTAAAGACAGATAAAACAATTATTTATGTTGTCAAATTATTTTTGCTAAGAAGGTTGCATGTAGGTTTTTAGCTAAAATTGCATTAATTTATAATTTCTTAAGATAGATTAAAAATTTACAAATTATGGAAACACTAATTTTGTATTTTGAGTCTCAGTACTTTGCATTTTCCCTTTATTTAATTTAAAAGACAAATCTTACCTCGTCTGATTAATTCCTTTCCTTCATCAACTAAATCTGATGTCATATCATTATCTCCCATAAACTGCTGGAAACCAAGCAGATTCAAACAACGGGTTCCCAAACTAATAAAAGTAGATTTTCAAAAAGAAAAGCATTATTTCACATCAGAACTATTTATATAAATTGTTCTTTAGTATTGTCAGTCCCAAGGAAGCCTATGCTTCATTATCTGTTATCATACAGTTATATATAGACACATCTGTTGTTTTGAAGAAGTGCTACTATTTCCCTTTCTTTTTTTTTTTTTGAGTTGGAGTCTCACTCTGTCGCCCAGACTGGAGTGCAGTGGCACACTCCCGGCCACCACAGCCTCGACCTGCTGGGCTCCAGCGATCCTTCCACCTCAGCCTTCCAAGTAGCTGGAACTACAGGCGCACGCTACCACGCCCGGCTAATTTTTTTATTTATTGTAGAGATGAGGTCTCGCCAAGTTGCCCAGGCGAGTCTCGAACCCTCGGGCTCAAGCAATCCACTCAACTCAGCCTCCCAAGGTGTGGGATTACAGGCTGAGCCACCGAGCCTGGATCTTTTTTCTTTTTTAATTGGAGTCTCACTCTGTCGCCCAGGCTGGAGTGCAATGACATGCTCATGGCTAGTGCAGCCTCAACCTGCTGGGCTCAGGGGGGCTCAGGTGATCCTTCCGCCTCAGCCTTCCAAGTAGCTGCTACCACAGGCAAGTACCACCACACCTGGTTAATTTTTGGATTCACTAGAGAGACAAGGTCTCGCCATGTTGCTCAGGCTGGTCCTGAACCCCTGAGCTTAGGCAATCCCTTCGCCTCAGCCTCCCAAAGTGCTGGGATCGCAGGCTTTAGCCACTGCGTCTGGCCTTATTTTCCTTTCTAAGAAGCTTATACCTAGCACTTCGATGACTAGGGTATCCACAATACCCAGATTACTTATGAAAGTAAATTAGGCCGGGCATGGTGGCTCACCCTGCAATCCCAGCATTTTGGGAGGCTGAGGCAAGAGGACTGCTTGAGCCTGGGGGTTCAAGACCAGCCTGGGCAACTTGGTGAGACCTCATCTCTACAGTAAATGACAAAAAAACTAGCCAGGTGTGGTGGCATGTGTCTGTAGTTCCAGCTATTTGGAAGGCTGAGGCAGAAGGATCACCTAAATCCAGCAGGTCGAGGCTGCGGTGGCCGTGAGCATGCCACTGCACTTCAGCCTGGGCAATAAGAGTGAGACACCAACTCAAAAAAAAAAAAAAAAAAAAGTAAATTAAATCAGATCATCATCGTGCCTTAAGAAAACAGTAATGCCAGGATGCTAAATGATAATCATAATATAAGAGTAATTCATTCTTATATCCAAGTAACAGGTTTTAATACTATAATATACATATACAACCAATATTTTCAAGTGTAGAATGTTCTGGTTTAGAAAGTCTTAATTATGCAAATCTGTTTTCATATTCTACTTTTTCTCTGAGAACTAGTCAACTCTATTTAAATGTAACTATTTATAACTCTATTTAAATATAATATAACTATTATGCTCTGTAATATGATTACTATATCTTATCTGGGGGCAATTATCTTATATCTTATTTACTATTTACTTTAAGTCTGACTGTTCTACAGGACAAGAGTATTCTGAAAATATGAAGCACAAGGGAGGAAGCAATAGGTGAATAGGAAGAGTTCATATCTGTTAAGATCCAGACAACTTATAGATGCCCTCTTATTTAATTCTTACTATAATGCTAAGAGATAAATATCACTTTATAGGTAAGCAAACAGGCCCAATAGGTTAAATACTTTGAAAGATTTCACTTATTAAATCACAGAGCTAGAATTTCAATCTAAGACAAAATAAAAACCAAGTAGCTCTTTTTATTAATTAGTTCTCAAACATTTTCAATTATGTACTTCTACGTGAGAGAAGGCAAAGGGAGAAGGTGAAAGGAGTGAAGAATTATGTATGTGAGAAGAGGAAAACAAGGAAACAATTTAAAAAGTGATAATCTCCATTTTACATTAAAAATGTATAGCCAGGTGTGGTGGCTTAGCCTGCAATCCCAGCACTTTGGGAGGCCAAGGTGAGAGGACTGCCTGAGCCCTGGGGTTCAGCCTAGGCAACTTGTTGAGACCTCATCTCTACAATAAATATATATATATTAAAAAAATTAAGTCAGGCATGGTAGCGCACGCATGTAGTTCCAGCAACTTAGAAGGTTGAGGTGAAAGGATCACCTGAGCCCAGTAGGTTGACGCTGGTGTGGCCATAAGTATGCCACTGTACTCCAGCTTGGGTGATAAAGTGAGACTCTAACTCAAAAAAAAAGTGTAAATATCTGGCTAATTCATAATATATCTACTTGTTTCAATATAAAAGAAATATTTTATATGAGTCATCATTGAGTAAATTTGGGAGCAGGCTTCCCCCTCTATGATACCACCATATATTTGCTTAAAAAAAAAAAAATTGGGGTTTCCGATAGATGATCGTGTTGATTCTGTGACTTTAAACATTCTTTTACTGTTTTTATATCCTTATAGGAATATTATACTGTAGGATGAAAAGTCATGAACTAGATCATTGTCTCTGGGAAGATTTTAACTTTGTCTAAAGTGTCAGGAAACAACCTTATGCTCTCTAAGCAGATAATTTTGAATATTAACTCTGGATATGGCAATGCTATTAACAGAGTAGAAATCAGACTAAAGCTGCATTTCAAATGAAAATGAATCTATAAAGTTAAGTCTCATTGAAATGTCAGTAAGGCATTGTTTTATATATTTTCTATAATAGAATATCTATTTTTATGAGATAATTTGAAAATTAAAAAATATAACCTTTTTTTCCTTAAAGATAAAATGGCACTCAAAGTTTATCCTAATTATCCCTAAAAAAATCCTATAATAGCTACTTTTAACAATTTTCCTTTTATTCCTTAAATTTAATATTTTACAGCTGACAAAGCATTGCCCTACCACTCTATTACTTGATCCTATAACCATCTAATAAGGTAGGAGAAAGTGCTAATCTTGCCAATAAAACTGCTAACATGAAAAGACATCATTATCACAAGTTGTTACTGTTCCATTAATAGCTTTATAAACTTTTCAAATGAATAAGCATATAATCGAAACTTAGTTTAGGACAAAATATGATTCGTTTCTTCTTTTAATACATCATTTTCCCACCATAGATCTATTACTGTCCTTCTACCTTAAAGAAATCACTCAAAATATAAGATTTGCTATCAGTTCATATTAATGGTATTATTTGATGTTATAATCTTTTAGTTATTTTACTTATGAGAAGGTAAAATACTTTTGAAATTCAATAGAAAATGTATTTGAAACAATATCTGTTTACTCATTACCCTAATATTAGTGCATATTATTTATAACAACTATATAGCAGTATTAGAAGACTTAAAGGAAAAGGAGATAGATGAAACTTATTCTTGTTAGAAAAGTGAATAACATTTTTTAAATGTTTCTGAAAAGGTGATACTTTGGTGAGTCATGAAGCACGTATAAAGTGAAAGAGGGCAGGATGAGGACACTTGACATGTAAAAGTATGGAAAAGAGTGCTAGAAGCCAAGCACACTTATCCTTTAACTCATTTTGAATCTCACCCCTGTCATGATTTTACCCTTCTTCCTTCCATAAAAAGAGCAGCCTATGTACTTTCCAAAACCAGGGGAAAATTTCCCCTATGATTATGTACAATAAATATAGTCCTTGATTACAATTGCTCCTCACCTGACCCTATGTGTTGGCCATGGATGAAGCATCTAGAAATCCAGCAATAAATATAAATAAAGTCCTATGACTAACTAATGTCATTAGAAAGAAGTTGGACATAAGGGTGTTTTCCAAGCCATGCTAGTAGTCACTGTCAAAGGCCAGGACTTAGAATTAATATTCTGTAATGAATACTATCACTTTGTAGTCTAAGTAGAATGATATTACTTATTATTTATAATTACTTATAATTCTACCTCTCTTCTTTAAAATTATTAGAGAGATAACCTGACCTGATCACTCAAGCAGTCTCTTCAAACTGTCTATCCCCAGCTCCTCCAAAGTTACAATAAAACAACTGAAACCCAATCAATAAATATTTAGAAGAGCTTTATGGAGAAAGAATAACCATATCTAATTATGGGTATAAGGAAAACTAATGTTAAGTTTCTTACCTAAAATAAGTAGCAATGCAGAGAATTACTACCAACATAGGATAATATATATAGAATCCATCTGCAATAAAGGATAAAACTTTCATGGAACCCATAATCTGAAGAGCAAGAAAAAAATTAAATCAGCATAGTTCTATATTTTTCATTCCTTTCCACCACTAGAAAATTTGCCCATAAGCAGTTATATCAACACATTTGACCTATTCAAAAAAGTAGAAACAAAGCACTAAATGGACTAATTTATTTTATTTTATTTTTTAAGGGGTAAAAGTGATTTTTGGTTACATGGATAAATTGTATAGTGGTAAAGTCTGCATTGCTTTGCTTTGCTTTTTCTTTTTCTTTTCTTTTCTTTCTTTTTTTTTTTTTTTAGTGTACCTATCACTGGAATAGTGTACATTTTACCCAGTGGGTCATTTTTCATCCCTCATTCCCCTCTCACTCCCCCACTTTGAGTCTCCAGTATCCATTATACCATTCTATATTCCTTTGTGGAACCCATAGCTTAGCTCCCATTTATAAGTGAGAACATGTGGTATTTGATTTTTCATTCCTGAGTTACTTCAACTTTTCATTTCATTGATCCTTTATATTGTATTCGTTTCATTTTGTTTAGCTCTCTGTTATTTCTTCTACTAGCTCTGGGTTTGGTTTGTTCTTGTTTTTCTAGTTCCCTGAGGCGTGATGTTGGGTTGCCATTGTGAAATCTGTCTTTTTTATGTAGGCATTTAGCAGTATACATTGTTCTCTTAGCACTGCTTGTGCTATATGCCAGAGATTTTGATAACTTGTGTTGTTGGTATTCATTTCACAATTTTACATTTTACAATTTCCATTTTGATTTCATTGTTGACTCAAAGATTACTCAGAAGCAGATTGCTTAATTTACACGTATTTGTATGGCTTTAGAGTTTATCTTGGAATTTAATTCTAGCTTTATCCCACTGTGGTCTGAGAAGATACTTGGTATGATTTTGATTTTTTTTAATTTATTGAGACTTGTTTTGTGGCTTATCATATGATCTGTCTCAGAAAATGTTCCATGTGCAAAAGGAATGTATATTCTGCAGTTTGAGGGTAGAACGTTCTGTAAATGTCTGCTAGTTTCATTTGTTCTAGAGTTCAGCTTAAGTAAATGTACTAAAATTACAAAAAATTATATATGTTAAGTCTATAAAATACAAGGTGATATTATTATAGATCAGGTCTTTTAATACTGCCCAGCTAGACAATTTATATGAACCAAAAAACATTTGTCCATAATAAAAGAAACAAAATCACTTTTATCCAGTGATTTTACATATTATACAAAGCTAATCTTTAAGAGAAAATTTTACCAATAATACTACAGAATTTTTCTGCCAGTATTAAAAGAAATTTCACAATAACATCTCATATAGATAATTAGTTTAAAGAACTCTGTTGTCTGACCATACTTACAGATGTATAAGCAGTTGGCTGAGTATTTTGGTGAGAGATGGATGAATCCATATGGGTCAAACCCAAGAAATTAAGACATAAAGGAGGAGTCAAACGGCAAAATAACCTGCAGTAAATATACAGCATAATTTATATTATGTTGTGATGTATTAAGAACACTTCAGATAACTATACCTAATATTTTCATCTATTTGTATAATATATATTTTGCATTCTTTGTTTCTTAATGTAACTTGCCCTTACTTGGGAAACATTCTATATACATATTAATCGCATCTCCCTTAAAGACATCAACACCTACATGGCAAAACTACAGTCTCAAACTGCCTGCTTTGGTGTTTTCTGGCACTGCTTTATTCCCAAATTTGTGGAGTACCTTTGTATTTCCTTCAACTTTACCATCTGTGAAATCCATCTGACAGGGACAAGGACAGTAATATCTTCAAGGTGAATTGTACTCAGTACATAAAAGATCTAAAGTTGTATCAAAAAATTTCATCTTGACAAGTACAAGGATAAAGAATTGTTCAGTTTGTCCAACTAAGAAGAGTAACTTACAAAACTACAGAGTTGGAGAATTGGGGCTGTGGAGAATGAAGAAGGGTATAAATAAAAAGATTTAATAGGCCAGGCATGATGGCTCAAGCCTGTAATCCCAGCACTTTGGGAGGCTGAAGTGAGGGAACTGCCTGAATCCACAGGTTCGAGAACAGCCTGGGCAACTTGGTGAGACCTCATCTCTACAACAAATCAAAAAATTAGCCAGGCATGGTAGCACTCGCCTGTAGTTCCGGTTACTTGAAAGGCTGAGGCGGAAGGATCACCTGAGCTCAGCAAGTCAACACTAGGATGGCTGTAAGCATGCCACTGCCCTCTAGCCTGGGAGACGGAGCAAGACTCCAACTCAAAAAAAAAAAAAAAAAAAAAAAGACTTAATATGAGAAAGTTCTTTTGTGGTGATAGAAGTGTTCTGAATTTTGACGACGGTGGTAATTACAAGAATCTACACACACATACACACACACACACACACACACACACAGGAATGAATGAAGGATAAAAAATGATGAGAACCAAATAAAGTGTGTAATGTACTCAATGATAATGTTCCAATGTAATTTCCTGGTTTTGATATTAACAACACCATATTTTGATATGGTGATATTATATGTCACCACTGGGGGAAACTTGGTGAAGGTTACATAGGACTTTTTATACTATGCTTGCCACTTCCTGTGAGTTCACAATTATTTGGGGAAAAAAAAAAAGATGCTTAAAGGTGCTTTTAATATCAACTCTTCTGTAAGGTTTCTCTAAGTCTAGCCCTTATACTTAATAGGACTGATTTAACAATAAGGGCAAGTAATAGATTGTGCAACCTAGCCCAAGGAAAAATTGTTCTTGTTGACTATCTTAGTCCTCCTCAATTTAGTTACAGGCCACTGCATCTCAGAATACTGTTTGGGTCTGACTTAGTCTCTAAACTCTCTATTGTTCCTACTGTTTACTTAAGTATTTACTGACTCTCTAGATAGTAAATCCAAGTTCACTACCTATAATGTATGTTTTTTCTGCCTCCTAACCAAACCTGGAATACCTATTTCAACTTAAATTGCAAGCAAAATTTAGCCAGCAATTGACAAATATCTATTTAATATTTAAATCTAATCAATTAGCTCACAGAAATGTAGGTGCTAATGGAGCACTGCTAAACAAGACATGGTATAAAGAAGACCAAAGTATTCTCATAAAGAATTCATAAGAATACATGCAAAGGAGACATTTCCCTTGTTGCTTAGCACACTTCTACTTACATGCCACTGAAAAGAAGGCTATAAGCATCAGTCTGGTGATGTGAAGCCAAATAATAATAGTTAAATACACGAATTCTGAATACAGTAGAATAAACACAGATACTTAGGAAGAAGATGGAAAGGAAGCAAGCAATCTGGAAAAACAAAAATAAAGCAATTTAAAACTAATGGACCTTAAACTAACACTTAGCTATCCCAAGCATTATTCTACATTTCCAGCTAACATTTATTGATGGTCAAAAACTTAAACATAATAGAATTACTAAAATTAATAGTAATAGAGAATTACTTAAAAAAAATGAAATTATAAAAAAAAATCTACATTTCAAACAGTTAACATCCTAGATCCATAAGTTTCAAATCTACTCCCAAAGTGAGCCTGTTCTCCCATTTCCTTGGCGACTCCTCATTTCTAAGTAAGCCTGTATGTAGCTTCACTGGTATAAAGAAGACCAAAGTATTCTCATAAAGAATTTTGTACTATCTTGCAGTCTTTCATTTCTCCTCAAATACAGTTCTTAGTTTTTTATAGTCTGGGCAAATTGATGAAGCCTAATTTTGGAAGTATGAATAATGACACTGTGGGAAATTTCACTGCTTTCATTATTGCTAGAAGTAATATATAGAGATAGATACAACAGGTAAGGATCATACCATGAACTGACATTTACAGTACTTATGACAGATATAAAATAAACTGACCTCAATATAAATATAATTGTATGTTTTTTCTGCTAGCTGTATGAAGACTGCAAAGAGGGACAAGACAGGAGTAGTGCTAAAGAATGTGCATTCTGACCACACAACAATCACAGAGAAGACGGACAAAACCACAGCAAGTATTCTGTAAAACCATGGTCGCAAAAGACATTCCCAGTACCATTCTGGAAGATAAAAGAAAAAAAATAATTAGGAAAACTATAAAGGAATAACAAGGTATTTACATTGTTTCAAAATATCTACCAACAAGATAATTACAAAGAAAAAAATAGCAAATTTTTCCAGTGAAAGAACCAGGCAGATACCACCCTAACCAAAGGATCACCAGCAATGGGAAATACTGGTATCATGTATCTCCTTCTATGACATGCTGAGAACACGACATTCCTGCTGTGGTATTCCTGCCAAAAATGCAGAACTTGGGAAACACCAAACTCATATTCAGGGGCATTCAACAAAAAACTGGCCTATACCCTCCAAAATCATCTACGTTATAAAACCAAAGACTGAGAAATTGTTTAAGATTAGAGAAGACTAAGGAGACATGACAACTGAATGTAATGCATAATCTAGGATTTTTTACAAAGTATATTATTGAGATAATTAGTGAAATCTGAAGCTCTGTAAATAAGAATATGGTATGAACATTAATTTCCTGATTTTGATAGTTATACTTGGCTATGTAAGAAAATACCTTTAAATTTGGAAAATACAAACACCTAGGGGCAAAGAGGCAAAATGTTAACATTTTGTCAAATTCATTTCCTTTATCTTTATCTATATTTTTCCTTACTTTTCAGACTTCAAATGAATATGGTAAAATGTTAATATTTGGAGAGCATGAGTGAAGGGTATATAGGAATACTTTGTACTATACTAGTTTTGTTTGGTTTAAATTTAGGGGAATAAAAGCTTTTTTTTAAAAAAAGAAAGCTCAATAAATGGAAAAACCTGTATTTTTACTTCATTCATTGAAGAAGCAAGCTCCTGGCTCACTGTAATTCTTTTCAATCCTACTCTCAGCATAATTACAATATCCACTAAGTGATCCATCCTCCTTTCAATACCCTGATCTCTTACTTCTTTGATCTCCTTTCCTCTAATGATCTTGTCTTCCACCCTACCTCAATCACTCATTGCCATAGTCATGCCTAAATCTTTTATTACCAATATCCCCAGCTCTTCCATATGATCTCAGTACAGCATCCTTGTCTCCAAACAATACCTTCATCTAGTAGCAGTATTTCAGCTCCAGTGATTAACCCTACTTTGATTGACAATCAATTTATCCTACCACATTTTTATTTTATTGTTGCTTAACACTGTGATGTCCTTATTTACTTCCTTACGAGGCTCAGATTCCACAATCTTTAACAACAGTCATCCTGTGGTATCCTGCTTCCTTTGCTTCCTCTTGCTTCACTGTACTTGCTTAGTTACACCCTGGTTAGATCAAACTCCCTAGCCACTCTGAGCCTGCACCCATGTAGCTGCACATGGCAGGAGGAAGACACACATGACTTTGCTAACTGGTCTCACTTTGAATTCTTAATCACTACCTTCACGTGGGCCCTCAGTACCATCTAGCTAGCCTACTATAATTCCCCTGTCTTCTTCCATGCCTACTCTCCCAGGCATTATTTTGCACCTTCTTTTCCATCCTCAAATATCTAAAATAAATATCTAAAATCTCCTCCCCTATACCTAGTCTCAGCATTTCACTGAGAAAATAGAAGGAAACAGAAGAGAACTTCCCCAAGTTTCTACCACCTACTTAGTTATGTCTGTGCTCCATCTCCTAATGCAAAGCCATCTTTTCGTTGTTCACTATTTCCTATCTCACCTCTACTACACATGAATATTGTCCTAGAAATTCTCTACTATCTCACCAAATTTTCTCTATTATATCATTCCCAAATTGCATGCCATAATGCCTCATGACCATGCCTCCAATCCCCTGTCAGCTACAGCTATGACCCCTTTTTTCTGTTCCCTTTTATAAGGAAAACATTTTGAGAGTTTTCTGTACTTACTGTCTCTGATTGCCCTTTCTTTTAAACTCCAATCTAGCTTTCTTTTTACCCTCTCCCCACCACATGTCTCTAAAATCCAATGGTTAGGTCTTAGTATTTATAATACTTATCTATGTGCAACTTTTAAAAAAATTTTTAAAGATGTGGGGTACAATTCAGGTTAGGTATACAAACGTTAATTATGCAGGTACTCTTGTTGATGAGGTATGCCCCACCCTCCCCTGGCAGTTTCCCTCAACTGCCAATCCCACCACCCCCCACACAGCATTTTCCGCTACTGCCAATCCTTTCCTTATAGTATTATGATAGTTGTTCAAGGTCCACTTAAGAGTGAGAACATATGGTACTCTGTTCTTTGTTTCTGTGATAGATCACTGAGTATGATAGACTCTAAATTCATCCAAGTTGCTGCAATCTATGTGCAGCAACTTTACATAGATTGAAAATATACTTTACATACACCCTTCTCCTCAAAACAATTCACTGTCCTGGTTTTCCTCCTATCTCACTGGCCACTCCTTTTCTAGTTGTTTCTGCTATTTCCTCCTCATTAGCCTAAACTCTAAATTCTGGAGTTCCTCAGGCTTAGTCCTATATGTTATATCATAAATAAATAAAATAATTTTAGGAAAAGTTTATCAGATACTTAATATTATCCTCAGACTTTCTCTCTTCTCTAACTCAATCAGTTCTTTACTTATTTTATCCTGATCCATGGCTTACTATACGTTGATAGTGCCCTAATTTATATGTGCAGTCCAGATTTCTGCCCTAAATTTCAATTTCTTTAACTAACTAGCTATTCAGCAACTTAATTTATACCTTTATGTGGTCACTATCTGTTTTTCTCACTCCACAAAAGCAAGAAGTCTTTTTAATTGATACATACTAAGTACCCAACAATATATAGTACTTATGTGCTCAAATATTTGTTGAATGAATGAAAACAGATACTGCATCACTTCTTCATTTAATTAGAAAGGATTTTTAAAAGAACTTTTATGAGATATTGTTATGGCAATACAACCTTCATATTTAAGATAAAACATGCAAATGAGAATCAAGTGAATATAACTGCTTGAGTAAATAAGGTAAATAGAAGTTTTAATACTGTGACACTTTGGTATTCACAATAAATTTCTTCATATTAAATCTGATAACATTTGAAAGGCATGCCATAAATAATCACAAAGGAGAAAAAATAATGACTACAGAATATAAGTTTTGTAATTAGACTAATAAATGCAAATAGTCAAAGAGGACTTCTTAGGGGAATATTTTAGTAGTATGTCAAGACTGAAGAAAAGATCCAAGCTTGTGTTGTAAAATTACTTAAGATTATAATTATCTTAGGTATATAACAACACTTTGGTCAATGACAGACCACATAAGGACTGGTCCTGTATGATTATAATATTTTTTAGCCAGGCTCGGTGGCTGAGCCTGTAATCCCGCGCCTTGGGAGGCTGAGGTGAGTGGATTGCCTGAGCCCGCGGGTTCGAGACCCACCTGGGCAACTTGGCGAGACCTCATCTCTACAATAAATCAAAAAAATTAGTCGTGCATGGTAGCACACACCTGTAGTTCCAGCTACTTGGAAGGTTGAGGCGGAAGGATCTCCGGAGTCCAGCAGGTCAAGGCTGCGGTGGCCGGGAGCGGCCACTGCACTCCATTCTGGGCGACAGAGTGAGACTCCAACTCAAAAAAAAAATTTTTTTTTACTTTAGCTTTTCTATTTTTAGATACACAAATACTTAGCATTGTGTTACAACTGCCTATAGTATTCAGTGAAGTAACTTGCTGTACAGGTTTGTAGCCTAAGCAATAAGCCATACTATATAGCATAGATGTGTGTAAGTACTCTTTGATGTTTGCACAATTATGAAATTGCCTGACAATACATTTCTCAGAACAAATCCCAGTCATTATGCATGATTGTATATATTATGTATCATATAAAATATGTTTAATGTATTACATATGTTTTTGCACAAATTTTTTTTTTTTTTGAGTTGGAGTCTCACTCTGTTGCCCAGACTGGAGTGTAGTGGCCGCTCCCGGCCACTGCAGCCTCGACCTGCTGGGCTCTGGCGATCCTTCCGCCTCAGCCTTCCAAGTAGCTGGAACTACAGGCGCACATTACCACGGCTGGCTAATTTTTTGATTTATTGTAGAGATGAGGTCTCACCTGCCCAGGCGGGTCTCGAACTCGCGGGCTCAGGCAATCCACTCACCTCAGCCTCCCAAAGGCGCGGGATTACAGGCTGAGCCACCGACCCCGGCTCAAAATTTTGATTATTTGTGAAGCAACAGTGGAAACTGATGAAGTATATGTTATATCATAAATAAATAAAATAATTATTTTAGGAAAAGTTTATCAGATACTTAATATTATCACATGGTATAAATCAAATAATAGAAATAATAATCAAATCTACAATGGTGAAAATATATACTTTTTTCCTGCAGAAAAATTTTCATCATGAAACTTTGAAATTTATATCAAATTACATACCAAATGTAGGATTATAAAAGTATTGGATAAATCGATTTTCTGGCTCTGGCGACTGAAAGGTATGAACAAACTGATGAGTAGCACTAGTTTCATTTTTTGCTACATCTTCTAGGTAAAATGCTTGTTCTAAAAGAATTTGCCATTGTACTTGAGTTCGACGGTGCCTCTGAACTGAATAAATCACCTAAAAAAAGAGAATAGGGGTAGGCTTGGCAGTGTTCTGATCCAACAGTGGTTCAGCTCCCCACTAGGGAGCATGTTTTCGTTGTCACAACAAGGAAGTGCTAGTGGCATTTACTGAATCAGGCCAAGGATATTAATGTTTTAAAATGTTATAACAATTTTATATAATGTAACAGTTATGCTCAGTGAATAACTCTCTCTCTCTCCAAATGCCAAAAGTATTCCTGTTGAGAAACATGAAGTTAAAACATTTCAAAAATAATGTTAAGGACAAGACCAAAAGAAATTTTAGATACATGTTCACTAAAAATTTTTTTGCGAGCAATGATTATAAACTTAACTAAAATAATTAGTAAGTAAAATAGCTATAATTTAATAAAGTTACCTGTTTATGCAGTTTTACCAGACTTTTTTCACTTGGGTAGGTATTACGCTTTTCATCAAAATCTTCATAGTCATCCATGTTTCTACCCATTTTTTCCTGGTATTCTATAGGGCACTAAAAGGAACAAGCAGATTTTGTAAAAAGATAAAAAAATATTTTTATTAAAAATCTTTTATTCTTGGGAATTTCTAATTTTCTCAAAAATTTTTTTCTCTTTATTGGCATCTCTAGTTAAACTTTTATTAGCTGGGGTTTTCTTTAAAATTTTTAAAATATATATTGAGTTTCTTCTTATCTTTATTAATATCAACCTTTATTCGCAGATATAAATCTGATATTAATCTATATATCAGATATAATTCAGATGTTAATCTGTATTCTCAGATATGCTCAGATATAGATATGGATAGAGGTAGGAGACAACAACAGAAGCAACTAGTATTTGAAAGGGTAAATCTAAGTAGGCCCTAATGAAACTGTCAATTATTTTGCTAGCCAAATAATGAAAAATAAGTATGACAAAACCAAGATGTTGAATTTTTTGTTTTGTTTTGTTTTGTTTTGAGTCAGGGTCTCACTCTGTTGCCCAGGCTGGAGTACAGTGGCACACTCATGGCTCTCTGAAGCCTCAACCTTCTGGGCTCAGGCTATCCTCCCACTTCAGCCTCCCGAGTATCTGGGACTACAGGTGCATGCCACTACAGCCAGCTTACTTTTTTGAATTTTTATAGACACAAGATCTCACTATGTTGCCAAGGCTAATCTTGAACTCTTAGGTTCAAGTAATCCTCTTACTTCAGCTCCCAAAGTGCTGGAATTACGGGGTGAGCCACTGAGCCCAGCCAAGATATTTAATTTTTGAAAGGCATAGTACAGAGAAACAAATGCATGATTTGGAGTCATCTGCCATACTATTACTAGCCTGTCTGAATAAGTCTCAAAAAGTGGCAGAGGTCCTGGTTTTATTTATTTTTTTTTTTAGGAGATATGGCTTTAGTGACTATACACACCAGCATTTTAAAAGTTTACCTCCATCACTGTGTCAGGGAAATCATTATATATTAGTCAACATCACCTCCATCACCATAATTCAATGGAAAATACTGCCAATAATTAATGTTAAGCTTGTACTAACAAAATAGAAAGCCCTATGTACAAATGGCTACTTATTTTTGGTTAATATTTCCATAAAAAAGAGTTTAGAAGACTGCAACCATAGGCTATTTTCATACTTTTCTGATGCTTTTGTTATATAAATTTATACTTCAAAAGAAAGCACATAAGATAATTTATTTACCTTTTTAAGTATTGTATCAACACATTTTCTCAATGGATGGTTATACTTGATGCTTTCGTTCACTTTACGAACCTCCTATAAAAACAGTAAGATAAATAAAAATATTTCCATTTCTAGAGGTCACATATTCCAAATGAGAATGCAGTAGGTACTATATATATTCTCACAAGTTCAATTTCCACCCAAATTACTTTGCGTTACATCAATAAAAGCTCTTAAGAACAGAAGAAAAACTACAAGGTCATTGAATACCTGTATCTATAACCTCAAGTTTTTTCTTACTTTCTAGATTCATTCCCTCATTATTTGGTACACAAAGATGAATAAGCATTATAAAACAAGTTCACAGAGAATCAGACAAATTTTGTGTTCCTAAAAGGAGGGCTTTATTCTTCTCATCAAGAATAATTATCTCATTATCTAAAATAAGTGAAGAAACCAGCAGAAGTAGAAAAGGCTACAAATGTTATAAAGTGCCAGCTCCTTTCCAATAGAAGAGTGGTCATAGTTGTCATGATTGATTGATTCCATACTTGTTTATTAAGAGCACACTATATGCTAGCACTATACCAGGTGTAAGGCCACCATAATCTATACTGGAGGATAGGGAGAGAAGACATGGAATAGTCAGCCTAGGACTAAAATTTCAACCTGGCGATGAAATAATTAAATGAACAATTAATTAGTATAAAAAGGTTAGAAGAAATAATCTTTAGAACTAGTAGTTCCTAAGAAGTCACAACATTCTATAATATTCATGAAATTTTTTAAAAGTTGAAACCATTGTTCTAGGCAGATTAAACAGTATGTTCACAGCCTGGGAAACATGAGAGAACTGACCAGGATATTAAAAAGAACATTCCGACCATAGAGAAAGACTTAAAGGGATACAAAGCTGGAAGCAGAGAAACCAACTGGCACATAGGTAACTGAAAAAATATTTATAATTGATATAATAAAGATAATATGTGAAGAGTTCTTACAAATCAACAGAAAAATGAGAATACTAAAGAGATACAATTGCCAATTGATTTCTAAAAAGATATTCAAGCTCACTAAAAACAGTTACAATTTTTAAAAATGAAAAATTTTTTTGAAAAGTCAGTATCAGCCGAACTCGGTGGCTCAGCCTATAATCCCGCGCCTTTGGGAGGCTAAGGTGAGTGGATTGCCTGAACCTGCGGGTTCGAGACCCGCCTGGGCAGCAAGACCTCATTTCTACAATAAATCAAAAAATCAGCCGGGTGTGGTAGCGCATGCCTGTAATTCAGGCTACTTGGAAGGCTGAGGCGGAAGGATTGCCGGAGCCCAGCAGGTCGAGGCTGTGGTGGCCGGGAGCGGCCACTGAACTCCAGTCTGGGCGACAGAGTGAGACTCCAACTCAAAAAAAAAAAAAAGAAAAATCAGTATCGCATAATAAGGTAAGATTGTAGCAGAAAAGGTCCTCCTATACATAGTAAAGAGAGATATAGAATATTTGAGAGTAATTTCTCAAAATCTATCAAAATTTAAAATATGCACACTCTATGAATAATCTGTACACTCCTGTCAAGGAATTTAGCTTAATGAGGAAAAGAGATATAAATCAAACAGAAATGGTGTGGAAACTACTACTAAAGTATGTGATGCTTTGAGAAGGTATAATCTAGAGTGGGAGACTTTCTGATTAACAGATTATTTAACATGAGATGAAACAAAATGTGTAGGAGTCAATCAACCAAAAAGAGGGTCAGAATATTCCAGACAGATAGCACATAAAAGGCTTCAAAGCCAAAGTGAGCAAGGTGGTTTAAGGAACTGAAAGAAGTTCGGTGTCACTACAGGGTTCTGGAGATGGAGGGCAAAAGGCCAGTCCATGTAGCACTGCATTAGGCTGAAAAGCAAGATCACAGTGCTCCTATATGGCCTTAACAGCTTATTTTGAGGTCATTGTGTGAGGCCTACACATGATAGTGACAAGATTAGACTTGAGTTTTTAAAAGGTCACCTTGGGAAGCATCATTACATCACTATTTTCCATTACTATGCCGCCTTAAAATTTGTTGACTTAGCACAAATTTATCCTACTTTGACTATGAACTATATCATATATTACTTATGAGATATTATATTTCTTTTAAAATTATTTAGCCATATTAAACAAAACACTGAAATAGTTCATTGTTAACATTTGCTACACATGTTATAAGTTTAAGCTTTCTTCAAAAGTCCAATTTTATTACTTTATTTTAGAGACAGGGTTTTGTTCTGTTACCTAGGCTGAAATGCAGTGGTGTCATCATAGCTCATTGCAGCTTGACCTCCTGGGCTAAATGATCCTCCCACCTCAGACTCCCAAGTAGCTGAGACTACAGGTGCATGCTACCACATCCAGTTTTTTTTTTTCTTTTAATTTATAGAGATGATGTCTAGAGTCTCATTATGTTGCCCAAGCCGATCCTGAATTCCCAGTCTTAAGGGGTCCTCATACCTTGGCCTTCCAAAGCAGTGGGATTACCATGCCTGGTCAGAAATCTTTGTAATTTTAACAAAATGCAGAAAACATTTTAAATATCAGTTTGTTTTCTTCATACAAAACAACATCAACAGGCCAGTTAGCTCAATTGGTTAGAATGTGTTGCTGAAAATAACAAAACTTCAAGCTCTGTCATTATGGTGCCTAATCAATCTTTTTTATGCAGGTCAGACAACATCCATGAAGGCAGGTTAATAAGCAGTTTCTAATGGAAATAAGTAGCTGTTTCTCCTTTCAAAAATCCCTATCTAGAAAAATGACAAAAGGGAAAAGTGACAATTTATGCCGTCTAGCAAATATATTTTGAATGGTTTTACATGGCTTGTAAGTCTAGTAATCCTTCAAAGAAAAGCACTAGACACACAAAGGCATATATTCATTTCAGAAAGAAACATAATCATAAAAATACCAAACTGGTTTTCATAAAACTGCATTTGGAGGATTATATGAATAGCTGAAAAAATAATTACCACGAAAAAGTAATTGAACTTTGTGATGTTAAACGACATAGTCAGAACCAATGTATTTTAAGTTTTCTCACAAACTAAATTATTCATATTCTTGTTCCATGGTTTCTTTCTACAGTACATTCTGTGCACCTCCATCACACTGATCATCCTAAACTACATACAGGATCAGGTCTGCCTCCTGCTTGCAAAGTGCCAATGTTTCCTCACTGTTTTCAAATACAGTTTGGACTTTTCAGTATGGCATTCAACACCTTGCTATAATTTTTATCTTTCCAATATAATTCTTATGCTCAAATTAATTTGGTTTTAAATTTTTCTGACATGTGACCAGAATGCTAACAGCTATCAAAATTCTACTCATCCTTCAACGCTTAGGTCTTATTTCATCTACTCTGATCCCTACTAGAAGTGAAACCTCTCCATAACTAGTGCATTTGGTTCTACCATTCACATCACATTTACCACATATGTAAGAGACTGCTTTTGTCCAAATTTGTACAATTTTCTACACTAGATAGTTAGTATCCTAATGGCCAATTCTGCATAGCATTTATCATGACAGAAGGATAGTAAGTATTTGTTAAACGAAGAATAAATCTTCTCCTGTAGCTTATACATTTTTGCATATTCCTAAAAGCAGAAAGAATCTCAAAATACCTTGAGAAATAAACATGGTCAAAAAAATCCATACTGAGAAACCATGCACTGTTTTTGGTGAGGGTAGGGTCAGAGTTCTCCTGCTATCTATGTGAACCTACTGCTATCTCCAAGGCACCCATTAAGAAAAGAGTGGCCTCTTATCTAATTTTTAACAAATCTCCCATACCTTAAGCCTGTAAATACTATACTAAAATAGACATATCACCAATGTCAGTCCTTAGTTTTCTACTTCTTATCCTAAGTAGAGGACTCCTATTTAACAAGAGCAATAACAGCAAACTCACTCTATTTTATTCAGACATTGAAACTTCCTCCTAGAAAAATCCAGAACCCAATTAATAGCTGGGTTTATATTTGTTGCAGGAATGTTGAAAAAACTGATGAAATTTAAATTCCTCAAACCTGAAAAAATTGAATTTAATATCAACTTTTGGAGCAAATACTATCAAATTTAAATTATCTTCTTTTATCAAATATAAGTGTCTTATCAAAGTATAATTTTCAGATATTTTAATTTTAAAAAATTCCAACTTTAAAACGTATCAAATATTGTAAAAATTACCATACATAAATTATCTATCTTCCTTTAAAAGATATAATAACATTCATCACAGGACTGAGGAAATGTAATAGAATACTATTTAAAGATTTACTCCTACATTTTGAATCAATGTTTCCTGCCACAGTTCTTAAATTCTGTAGAAAATAAATACTGAAAAGCCAACATAAAATTTTCTAATTACAGAATATATTCATTTGTTCAAATATTTGTTCACTTAAAAAATAGTTGATAAGTGTCTGGGGGTCTAGAGGACTAGGAAAAATATTCTGGGTTGATTTGTGTCCCCCTTAAAAATCATATGTTGAAGCCCTAACTTCCAGTACTTCAACATAGGATCTTATATGGAATAGGGTTGTTGCAAATGTAATTAGTTAAGATGAGGTTACACTAGAGTGGGACGAGCCCTGATTTGGTTCAGATTATTGTCCCGTCCACATCTCATGGTGAAATGTGATCCCCAATGATAGAGATGGGGCCTAGTGGGAAGTAATTGGATAATGGGGTGGATTCCTCATGAATTGCTTGATGCCCTTCACAGTAATGAATAAGTTCTCTATTAGTTCACGTGAAAACTGTTTAAAAGATCCTGGCACCACCTCTTCTTCTCTCTTGCTTCTGCTCTTACCATGTGACATGCCTGCTCTCTCAACACCTTCCTGAAGCCTCACCAGAAGCCCAGCAGATATTGGTGCATACAGAACCACATGCCAAAATAAGCCGCTTTCCTTTATAAATTACCCAGTGCCAGGTATTTCTTTATAGCAATGCAAGACAAACTAATACAGGCCCTACTCCAAAACGACTGGCGTCCTTATAAAAAGAGAAAATTTGGATACAGATAGACACACAGGGAGAATACTGCATGAAGATGAAGGCAGAGATCTACAAACCAAAGAATGCCAAAGATTGCCAGCAAACAACCAAAAGATAGGAGAGAGGTATGGGACAGATTTTCCCTACAGCCTTTAGAAAGAACCAACCCTGCCAACGCCTTGGTCTTGGACTTTTAGCCTCCAGAACTGTGAGTCAACAAACTTCTATGTTTAATCCATGTGGTCTGTGACAGTTTTGTTATGACAGTCTTAAGAAGTTAATACAGAAGACTTCTCTGAAGAATTCTCACTTATGTTAAGATCTAAAAATGAAGAATTAGCTGAAGAGAATGGCAAAAAGAGCATCCTAAGAGTTTGAAAACAGCATGCTCAAAGACAGAAAAGAGAGGCAATGAATGCAACGATTAAGAATAAAGGTCATCAAACCAGATCAAAACCAGCCCACCACCTGCTCTGATATTGGAACAAATCAAATTTATTATTCATTTATTTATTTCCCGGCTATGACTGCTTTCATGCTACAGTGACAGAGTAGTTGCAACAGAAACAAGATGGCACACAAAGTCTAAAATATTAACTATGTGATTCTTTACAAAAATGTTTATCAGTCCTTGTTAAAGCATAAATTAAAGTTAGACTGCCTGGCTCTATCACCTACTAGCCATGGGGACATGGGAAAGTTGCCTAATTTTTCTGTGCCTCATTTTCTTCATTTGCAAAGTGGGATAAATAAAACCTCTAATAAAGTTGTGAGAATGAAATATAGTAATATATGTATAGTACTTAAAAAGTCTTAAGCAAGCAGTAAGTCTATGTAATTATTTGCTATAATCTTTACCATTACTAAGTTTGAGGAACCAAAGTTGACTATTAAACAAATATTAAGTCTAACTATTTGTTATTTCATCATTAGCAAATTTGAAATCATAATTGACCAATGTGCAGAAGACAGAGGCTTGGGATAAGGCTAAACATGGGCCAAATTATTTTTCTGTAGGCCATGTTAAAGCATTCTGGTGTTTACTCCAACATGAATGAAAAGCCTTCAACAGGAGGTTTTAATTTGGGGAGTATCATCATCAGAGTGGCATATTTTCCCATGGAGAGCAAAAATGTAAGGTGACTACAAGCCTATCACTTGAAACTCATAACAAAATTATTACTTAACATAGAAAAATTGTATAACATTTTGTATATTTTTATGTATATTATTGAAAATTATACTTTCAACAAGTTTGTGAAGTTGGTTCAAGTTATCTGCATTTTACAAGTGGAAGTGCCTTATCAAGATTATAGATAGAAAACAAAACTTACTGATACAAACTCCCATTCAAATTATTCTCTAAAGAGGTTTCCAGGCTTGGTGGGATGGCCCTGAGTTAAACTTTCAGGAAAAAGCTCCCTCTGGTCACTCTTTTCAAGTCTACTATATTAGAGTAACCATATAATTTATCATTTAATATAGGAGACTTTTGAGAATCAAAAGGGGTACTATTAAAAGTTGCCCTAACACGACACACATAGTCCTGCACTATTGGTTATATTTTTCATAAATCTTTGCCAACTAGAAGATGGATATGATACTTCATGAAGCTGAGCTACTAAAAAGTCAACCTGGATGAGACATCCTGAATGAATGCACACCACCAAATCTGCAGTCTGAATCCCATCAATGTGCTAACAACAGCAACAAAAAACTAAAAGTAACTAAAAGGAAATGCCCACATCACATGACTATTGCTTGTAAGATTTAAACTCGCTTACTTCCATGACATCCTCTAAATTCTCTTCTGCATCTGCTTTCTCTGTCATCAGTTTGGCAGCCTTAAAATACGTTTTCATAAGTAGGTAACCCCTTTTTGCTCCATTCCAGTATGACCGAGGAATTTCTACCAAGCCATACCCCAACAACAATACAAGAAGAAATAGACCCCATGTATTTGCAGCAGCTATCCCAATTGTCTGAAGCTGGTTCCTAAGAAAGAGAAACACATGCAGATAGCTGTAATACATTTTCCTATAAGAATGGAAAACATAAAAGAGAAAAAAAAAAAGAATGGAAAATAAAACTAGTATTAAATGATTTTTCAGAAAACAACTATTCTAAATGATGACTAATATTTTATATGAAAACACTAAACCTTCAAATCCTCAGCTACTCTTTTAGTAACAACAGAAAATCTGCATATTTTAATAGAAAGGTAGAATGTAACAGCAGAAATAGACTTTAACACAAGAAACACTGTTTCGATTACAGTTAAAATTAGAATCTGGAATAATTCATGGCAAACACATGTATATATTTTCCCAAAGAAAACATTCTTCATTAGGTGTTTTCCTATTCAACATTAAACAAAAGAAGCCTGAAAAATTTTTTAACTAACTTGTGTGGAAGCTAACCTACATAAACCTCAGGAATGCACCAGTGAGGCCTATCACTGCTGCTCTATTCCTAAATTTTCAGACCTACATCTTCACAAGACAAGTACGAAATCTATTTTGTACTTGTGATCTGTAATATACAGACCTACATCTGTATATTACAGATCACAAGTACAAAATAGATTTTAATTTATTAAAATACCTAAATCTAGGATAACATTAAAATGAACTATACCTCCAAACTATAATCAGAACAACAACAACAACAAAAATTCACAAGTTTCAGTGAAAAAATGGAACCAGTTATTTTATCATACATAAAATTTGAAATTCTATCAAAAAAATCATAAGGATTATTACTTTTAATATATAACTACTAGAAAAAGCATTAAACCTTTGTCTAAAAATCTATATTTAAAGATATCATTGCATATTTCTTAGTAATATGGATTACTCAGATATTCTTTTTGGGAAATCTATAAAATGATATGTTTCTCAATAATATGCCTGTTTACTTGCATTATGAGGTAAACATGAATTTTTTTAAAATGCAAACATATTTTAAGAAGCAATATTAAGAAGACTACTTTTCTTACCATTCTAAATGCAAATGTGGATTTACAGCTACATAAATTAAAAATGCTCCAAAAATCAGCAAATAGGTGCCATAATAGATTGCATTCTCAATCAGTGCAGTTTTGATTTTTCCAGTGATAGAAAACCCTCCTGATCTTGCATATGACTGCATAAAAGGTAAGAGAATCCTAGATGAATGAAAAAAAATCTATGATTAAAAAACAATTGATATGTCTGTATAACCTCAAAATTCCAGATATACATGAATTACAATTTTATTCTCCTCACTAATAAATATGATTATGGATAATTATTAATATTGAATAAACTATAATAGAGTGTTTTGTAATATTAAATTTTAGGGAAAGCAAAAGCTCTAAGGCAGGAGAGAGTAAGATACATTACTGGGAACAAGGGAGGTCACAATGACCCAGCAGACAGTGCAACAGTGTGAGTGACTAAAAAGGCCTTTAAAGTCTTTATGAAAAAAATCTAGACTGCATTCAAAGAATAAGAAACATTTTCAATCAAAATTTAGTTTGATAAGTCTTCAGCATGGAGAATAAATTGAAAGGGAACAAAAATGGATCTAGCTAAAAGGGGTAAGGGTGGTGGTGGTAGTAAAAAGCAGGAAGGAATAGACTGGTTGTCAACATACTGACTTTGAAGTAGTACCTAGGAGATATCCAAGAGGAGCTGTACAGGAAGTAGTTGGTTACCTAGCTTCAGAGATCAGGAGAGAGGACTAGAAATATAGATAGATTCTGGAGTCATCACTGTATCAATGGTACTGAAATAACAACAGTAGATGAGGCCTGGAAGCATGAGTATGTAGAACGTGAAGGAAAAAACTGAAAAAGAACTTTGAGAAACATCAAATTTTGTGAAAAGGTAGAGAAACAAGAGAAGGAGCCAGCAGAAGAGACTGAGAGAACAGTAGAGGGGCAAGGAAGAAATCCAAGGAATGTGTAGATTAGAAACTAGAAGAAAGTATTTGCAAGTGGAGAAAGAAAACAATAGGATGAAATGCTGCCAGGAGGTGAAGTAAATTAAGGAATAGTATGTATGAGTGGAAGAGTGGAAGTAAAAAACAGAGTACTACAGGTTGAGGAATCAGTAAACAATGACCAAATAGAGAATCAAATATAGAAAAATCATTTAAGAAGTTTGGCTGGATAGGATAAACCATGGGGTATATATAAAATAGAGTGTTTTACCGAGATGAGAAAACAGAATTCTGATATATACAACACAGTATACATGAACCTCTCAAACACGTGAGCAACGAGAGATATGAAAAAGTTTATAGAGTATAACTTCATGCTTATAATGTTCACAAACAGGCAAAAACTAATCTGTGGTGATGAAGTCAGATTCATGATTACTATTCATGGAGTTGAAGAAGATTAGAGGACAGAGTATAAGGAAGACCTCTGAGGGCATTTATGTTCCCTATTGTCATCTGAGTGTCGTTGTACAAATGTATTCATTCTGGCCAAAGTCAAACTAAAAATCTGTGTACTTCTTGGTAAAAATTTATACTTCAATTTTTAAAAAAATCTCTAAGAAAATTTAGTTGTGATGAGATCAATGAGGCAGAGGCCGGAAATGGATTTGAGCTGAAAAACTTTGTTTCTTTTTTTTTTTAAAGGATAATGCTGAGAAATTAAGTCTAAGCAGGAGAAGTTAAAAAAAAAAGGATGAAAAAACTGTGTATGCTTTGAAATCAGAAGCTGTAAGTATGCAGTGAGAGCTGAAGGGGATGGATTCATATTTCAGGAAGAGGGATTAGTTTTAACAAGAGTGATTCTTCTATCCTTGGAGGGGAAGGAAAAATAGATGTGTAGATAGGTAGATTTGCTCATGAGAAACTGGAAGAGCTACCATCTGATGACTTCTGTTTTCACTGTTGGCTACAAAGTTAAGTCATCTGCTAAGAGTAAAAATTTTTTGTTTTGTCTTTTGTTTTTAAAGAGTAGGAAAGAGTCATAAAGGGGACAGCAGAAGTTTGAAGTGACTGGAAATATTTGTTGTAGAGAATGGAGAGGAAGCAAACCAAAGAAATAAAGAAGGAAAGTCTGGCAATGTTGAGGGCCTAGTTGAGTTTAATAAATATGAAGTCACAGGAGCACTACTCTATTCTGCTGTGTGATTTTTCTCTTGCAACATTTACTATCGCTAGCCTTAGAGTTTAACTGTTAGAAGAATATCTAAGAGATGCTCAGTACACAGTGGGTAAGTATGAGTCTGGAGCAAAGCAGAAAGACAAAGCTATAATGGGTAGAAAGAAAAATTTCGAATTAATTATTGGTCAAGGAAACCATGGCAAAAATTACAGCCATGCAGGGAGTTAAACAAGATGACCAAAGATGGGATTCCAGGAAAACCAACATTTATAAAATGGGCCACAGAAATGAAGATCATAAAGGAAATTCAGAAGGTTGGGCTAAGCAGATAGAAGGAAAACCAGAGTTAAGATAATGATGACCTTAGAAAGAGCAGTTTCATGTAATAATGGGGCTGGAAGAAGACTGGAATGAAGGTTGAGAGAGAAGGCAGTAACTGGAGGAAAACAGTGACAAGGAAAACTTTTTGTTTCAGTTTTCTATTTTTGTTTATTTTTTCTATTTTTTTTAAAGATGAGACAAATTTGAGGTGGCAGAAAGGGAGAGGATACATAGTTAAGATAAAAATAGGTGACATATAAGTAAATTCCAAAATATGAAGATTCACTAAAAAAAAAATCACATTTATTTTTTACTTTAGCAAAATGTTTAAGATTATCCCTCACTGCTACTTACCATGTTAAAAATTGTGATGTCCAATATACTACCCTCCAGAAAATTGGCATAATTCCATCGGGAATATAACTCCATGGCTTGAAACACGGATGTTGTCTATTAAATTAAAGTTTAAAGTCAGTTCATCATAAAAATAATGACTTGAATTATATAATTTGCATGTGGCAAAATTCATTTATTCAGATTTTCAATTACTGACTCCAACTCACAAAATTTCATGGAAAACTTAAAATTCAAAGCCGCCTATCAAACTAAAAAACACATGCAAAGGCAATAAAATAGTTTTTCCTAGAGAAATGCTACTTATGTTTTCAATTTTCAGTGTACTTTTAGTTATTAGTTAAAAAGAGGACTTAATGTTCAGCTAATAAGATAAAAATACAATAGTCTTTAAAAACAAATGTATCATGAAATCAGATTTCAAATGATTACCTTTAAAATACACGTTCAGCCAGGCTCGGTGGCTCAGCCTGTAATCCCGCGCTTTGGGAGGCCGAGATGAGTGAATTGCCAGAGCCCGCGGTTTCGAGACCCGCCTGGGCAACTTGGCGAGACCTCAACTCTACAATAAATCAAAAAAATTAGCTGGGCGTGGTATCACGTGCCTGTAGTTCCAGCTATTCGGAAGGCTGAGGCAGAAGGATCGCCGGAGCCCAGCAGGTCGAGGCTGCGGTGGCCGGGAGCGGCCACTGCACTCGTCTGGGCGACAGAGTGAGACTTCAACTCAAAAAAAATAAATAAATAAAATACAGGCTCATCCCATTTATTACTTTTTTTTTTATGTAGGGGGTAAGGTTTGGAGAAAGGAATACATTAGGTGATTAATTCCTAAAAAATGGGATGCCAATTAAATCAGTAACTACTACACTAGAGCTTCTATAGAAATGTATACCAGCATCTACACTAATCTGTTTGACTTTTCTGAAGACACGATGAGTCTCTGATCATATCCCTTAATCCAAGAACTTCCAACAATCCATAATTGCAGTAGATCTTTACCCAGTTTTTTAATGGTGTTTCAAAGGGAAATAAAATCTACATTTTAAATTTACCTTTACTCAAGTTAGATTTTTTAAAAATATGCATTAAAAACCATGCAAATAACACTTAAAGCATTGGTAAAATCTATAGTCAACATCTATTCCTTTTTACTTGGAAGTTGGGTAAGAATTCAATATAACATTTTGACAATTTGCACTTGATTCATTTGTTATATAAAACTATAATGCTTTCAAAGGATGCACATTATAAAAGGCATACCATAAGTACAGAGCAACCTCCTTGTCCTTTATTATAACCTTATAACTTAGGCAAAAGAGAAAATGTACTCCCCATTTTTTAGATCTGAGACAGATAGGAAAAATAGGTTTTGGAAGCCACATACTTAGTAAAGAACCAGAACTGAAAAAGTAGATCATCTTCAAGTTTTTCACTATCATCTGCTGAAAGGCCTTGTGCACCAATAAATATTTTAAAGTAGATTTAAACAGAATATAAAAATGTAATAAAAAGCCTAGTAGCAAAGAATAGAGATGGAGAGAGGATCAGTAGAGAACTAAGATAACTTTTATAAATATAAAATCTGAATGGTAAAAACTGACCATTTTTAAACAATTTACCCCCTACAATATTTACATTTTTTAAAAAAGTAAATACCTTGGAACAGGGTTAGCAGTTGCATACATTCCTGAAATGTTGCTATTCTCAGGAGGGCTTGAATTTGCAGCAGCATGTTTGCACCGGTTGTATATTGTCTAAAGCAATGAATGTATGCATGGTTTAAAAATAAGAAACAAAAGGTTATCAAGTACAAGGGATATTGAAATTTCTAAACCTATCCACCCAAACTGACCTTTCTGGCTATGCTTTTTAATGATCAAATACCTAAAATAACATTCAAATTCAAAATACAAATATAATCTTATATAAGTTACTGTCTTAAGAAATGGCATTGTCAGGTAACCCTCTCGGGTCCCCTCCCACTATGGGAGCTTTTCTGTCCTCAATAAATTCTGCTTTTTCAAAAAAAAAAAAAAAAAAAGTGACATTGTCTCAAACATGCTATATGATTACAACTATCATTTAAACTGTGAAAATCGGTTTTGTCTGCTTACCGTACTAACATCCAGAGGCAGTATGAAGACAATAAGAAAGCAGAGATACCAAGCAAGCAGTGTTCCAACAATTACAAGTCTATGCTGTTTCTTAAAGTCTCCATATCGATGAAGTAGAAATAACGCCAGAAAAAAGACAAAAACAATCTCGAGTCCCAAAGCTGCACCACTCATTATTGAATGTCCACTCTTACTAACAAAAGTTATTCACGTATAGGACTGGACCATATCTGTAAACTGAAAAATAAAAATGCAGCATTAATACAGGAAATGACTATTTGGAAATTTCCTAAATATTTATAAACGTGTTAATAAAGTCTTTGGGAAAATGTCATGCTTCATACTGGACTATAAAAAAGATAAAAAGCATATTTCTTATCCTTAGGTACTTATATTTTATTTTTAAAGCACATTTTAAAAATTTCACATACATTGTATTTTCAAAAATGTAATTTCATAAAAATTATACTAGTTCTTAAAATATCACACATTCTCGGTAGCTCAGCCTGTAATCCCAGCGCTTTGGGAGGCCGAGGTGAGTGGTTTGCCTGAGCCCGTGGGTTCAAGACCCGCCTGGGCAACTTGGCAAGAACTCATCTCTGCAATAAATCAAAAAAAAATTAACTGGGCATGTCAGAGCGTGCCTGTAATTCCGGCTACTTGGAAGGCTGAGGTGGAAGGATCACCGGAGCCCAGTGTGCCAAGGCCATGGTGGCCGGGAGTGTGCCCCTGTACTCCAGTCTGGGTGACAGAGTGAGACTTCAACTCAAAAAAAAAAAAAAATCACACATTAAGAAATTCATAATACTAGATGTGAACTGTTTCAATACAGTGTCATTTGGAGTTTGTTTCTTAATATTATAAGCCCTAATAGAATATTTTATACAAATAAGCTATTGACTATATCCCAGGAAATTAGAAACTTGGTAAAATAAATTTTCCTAATATCAACCAAACCCCATAAATTAATATTCTAAAACAGAGGTAAGAGAGACAGGCAGAGACTATAGAAAGTAACTTTTCCGGCCAGGTGTGGTGACTCAAGCCTGTAATCCCAGTACTTTGGGAGGCCGAGGCGAGAGGAATGCCTGAGCTCAGGGGTTGGAGACCAGCCTGGGCAACTTGGCGAGACCTTGTCTCTACAATAAATAAAAAAATTAGCCAGTAGTGGTAGCGTGCACCTGTAGTTCCGGCTACTTGGAAGTCTGAGGTGGAAGGATCACCTGAGCCCAGCAGGTCCAGGTCAGGGCTGCGGTGGTCATAAGCATGCCACTGCACTCAATCCTGGGTGACAAAGTGAGACACCAACACACACACACACACACACACACACACACACACACACACACACACGAAAGTAACTTTTCCTTTGTCTGAAATAGTATTTTCTCTCATACCAATTTTGCCTAACAACTCAACTTTCCTACTTAAAATGTTTATTCATTTACACCTTCACAAAATATACTTATCACTTCCCATTTACCTACATAAGTCTTATATTGTTTAAAGTTACTTTACCTATTTTATATGTGGAAATTTTATCAATAATTATTAAACAAAGTCATATGTTTGAAAATATTCTTAATTATAAATGCTAATAGAGATATCACCAAATGGTTTATCTGATACCTCTCTACTCTTTAATTAAAAAACTTAGAGTACAGAGATTTAAAATCTCTAAATTCTTATTTAAAAACTTAATTTGATATTTCAGCTCTTAAATAAAATAATTTATCTTTACTAATTGAAGGCAATATTTACTTTTTGCCTTTGTAAAATCAATATTAGGCATTTTTATCTATAAACTACAATATTTGAAAGAAGTGATATCTTTCTTTAAATATAGGGTATCGCTATGTTGTTCATGCTGGTTTCAAACTTCTGGCCTTAAGTGATCCTCTCTCAAAGTGCTGAGATTATAGGGGTGAACCAAACCACTGAGCCCAGCTGGAAAGATATCTTAACATAACGAATCAAGATTGTGATGAAACCCAACAAAATAAAATAAGGGAAAATTAATAAAATACTTCAACAACCATCTCTAACCAAAACTAACTATAAAAAAAAAGAAAGTCTGAGTACTTTAACAGGGCAAATTTAAATTTATATAGAAAATACACCTATATGAAATATCACAAACAAAAATCACATTTAATAGACTATTTTCTTCACTATTTCTTTATATTGTTGAAGTATTTTATTTCCATTCCTCTGTACATTTCAACCATCAATATTTCATTTTTCTTAAATATCTAAAATTGAACCTCTTTATCACTCTCTATCCTCTTATCCTGCTATATTTTTTGTTTTTTAAAAAATTTTTATTATAAAGATGTGGGGTACATTTCAGGGTTAGGTATATAAACATTGATCATGCAGGTTCCCTTGTTGATGAGGTATGCCCCTCCATCCCCTAGCAGTTTCCCTTAACTGCCAATCCCCCCCTACACACAGTTTCCCACTACTGCCAATCACTTTCTTATAGCATTGTAATTGTTCAAGGTCAGTTTATGAGTGAGATCATATGGAACTCAGTTCTATGTTTCTGTGATAAATCACTGAGTATGATTGACTCCAAATCCATCCAAGTTGCTTCAAAATCCATATATTTGTCCTTCTTTATGGCTGTCCTGCTATATTTTTGACACACTTATCCATCTGATATAATGCACATACTTTATATTTATTAATTGTCTCCCTGCACCTCCCGTCTTTCCACATAGACTCCAGAAAAGCAGAGACTTGACTATATTATTCAGTACTATATCCCAAGGCTCTAATGTAGTGCCTGGCATACAGTAATATCAAAAAATATTTGCTGAATGAATAAAAACATTACTGTAGTATATACATCATTTTTCTATTACTGCTGACTTCAAAAGCAATGCAAAACATTGTTATGGTAAATTGACTTCACAAGTACTTATTACAACTCAAAGGTTTAAAACTCTGCACATTACCAAATACTACTCAGAATTTCAAATTTCATATTCTATAAAAAAATTTATACCACAACAGTAAGTAAATCAAATCTTATTTTTAAGTCGAGTATAGATTAGGTATTAGCTGAAAGCTCAATATAGAATGTGTTGATGATAACTGTTATCAAGTTCAAGATCCAGCTTCAAAAAAAAAAAAACTATTCAATGTGAGTTAAAATATAAAAATTATTACCTGAAAAATCCCTTTATAATTTGATTTAAATATTTATTCACCTGAAATTGTCCAGTACAAGGAATATGATAATCAGGAAAAAACAACTAGATATTAGAGATTACCAACGAAATGCTAATATGGCAGAGGCAAATGATAGAATATTACTATAGTACAAGAAATGTTTGTTAAGATTATTTAATAAGACTAGAAAATTATTCTAACACTAACTGAAAAACTAGACACACATTTTTACCTAATATGCATAAAAAATAAGATAACAATGAAATATATTAAAACATCAATCACAGGTGGTAATGTTATGGGCATAAGCAAATAATAAAATCATTTATAAACTTATCACTATTAATATTTTTGACTATGGCTGTCCATTTTTTAGTCTGATTCATACTCAATACTTTAAAGAGCCATAGATTAATAAACAGAATTATGGATTCTTTATTCTAATAATAAATGATTTGGATACATATCTTCTCATACGCAGTGTCTTAGTCTCCTATCATTACCACAATAAATTACAGCAAACTTTATTATCTTAAACAACACCCATTTATTGTCTTATAGTTTCTGTGGGTCAGAAGTTCCAACACAGCAAGACTCAACTGAATTCTCTGTTTAGGGTTTCACAAGATTAACATAAAGGTGTCAGTAGGTTTGCATTCCCCCCGGGAAAGAATCTATTTCTAAGCTTATTCAGGCTGTTGCCAAAACTCAGTTCTTTATGGTTATAAGGACTGACATCCCTGTTTCCTAGCAAGCTGCCAGCTGGCATTAAACCTTAGCTATAGAGGCTTCTCTCTAGTCTTTGCATGTGGCCTTATATGTCTTTTTTTTAAGTATATACACTTAAGGTGCAGAACAGTGATATTTGATATACTGTACATATACAGTGAAATAATTACTATAGTCAAGTAAATAACATATCCATCTCCTCACATAGTTATTTTTCTTTTGGGGGCGGTGGTGAGTCCTGTAGATCTTAGAGGCAGCAATGGCTTGTCAAATCCTTCTTGTGCTTGAAATCTCTCTCTGTTTTTCAGGGCTGATCTGACTATATTGGGCCTACCTGGATAATCTAATTATTTCACTGTTTCCAGAGACATTCTTAGCGGTCTATTATTCTGTTTACCACACCATCTACTTCTGTTCAAGCTGAACCTGCTATGAAACAGGTTAGGACTAGTGATCCCATGAAACTGGAGATAAAAATTGGCGTTTTCCTAACCTGCGATGAGAAAATAATAGTTTTAAAGTCCATATCTTTAAACTTGTACCAAAATTCAAGTGAGGAGTTGCAAGGTTTAGGGGAAAAGGAGAAGAAGAAAGAGAAGATGATGATGACAAGGAAAGAGAAAGAGAAGATGATACTAAAATTTGGAAGCAAACCAAAATTTAGTTCCACGTGACCAGAAATGAAAAGGGAACTTTAAGCTATCATAGGTTGACATTAGCACCACAGCAGCAAAATTGATTTTGCTCAAAATCAAAATGCCAATTCATTCTGTCAAATTTTAGTGCCCAATATGTGGGCATATTGTACCCTTCAAAATACTGGTTCTGAAAGTTTTAAACATTTAAAATTCAATTTTTTTCCCAACCATCAAAATAATTATTCAATATTAGGTTTAAATTCCTTTATAATGGTTTCATAATAAGATGTTAATGTTACTAACTTGGAGTACTATATCCTGAGTTCTTTATAGCCGATAATAGTTCTTCAAGCTAAACACCCTTTGATTGGAGACTTCAGAAGTTAGAATAATTATGCAATTTGAAAAATCCCTAATTTTGAGAGAGAGAGAGCAAGATAATTGAAATTTTAATGAATTCTTAAAGACTTCAGGTATAGAAACTGCAAGGCTTTTCTTGATAAAGAATAATTCTTATCTTCCTAAGAACAAAATAATCTTTAAAAAAGAATATCCAACATCTAGTGTACATTTACTAAATTCCAAGTATTGTGCTAGTATCCTCCATGATTTATCAAATTAGACCTCACAACCCAGTAAGAAAGGACAGCTAGTTTCCTTGCTTACCAGGAAAAAATAGCACAGAGAGGATATGTAATTTGCCAAAGTTGACAGAGCTCATGAGTGGAAAAGCTGGGATTCCAAGAGAAGCATCCTGACAATAGAGCTTGGATCATAACAACATGACTTCTCCAATCCAGATATGCTTTCTTTTTTTTTTTTTTTTTTTTTTTGAGTTGGAGTCTCGCTCTGTCGCCCAGACTGGAGTGCAGTGGCCGCTCCCGGCCACCGCAGCCTCGACCTGCTGGGCTCCGGCGATCCTCCCGCCTCCACCTTCCGAGTAGCCGGAATGACAGGCGCGCGCTACCACGCCCAGCTGATTTTTTGATTTATTGTAGAGATGAGGTCTTGCTGCCCAGGCGGGTCTCGAACCCGCGGGCTCAGGCAATCCGTTCACCTCAGCCTCCCAAAGGCGCCGGATTACAGGCTGAGCCACCGAGCCCGGCTCAGATATGCTTTCTTAATGCAATTTAACTTGTTTAAATTATTTATTTTGTTCAGCCATCACAGGGAACAAATTAGAAACAGTCTCCTATTATTCTTTTAGCTATATCTACATAGAGTGCTAAGAAAGTCGTGTGTAAAACAGAACTCAATTCACAGATAATACTGCAATTACTTTATTTAATTACTTTATGCCTCTAGTCAACAATGTAGAAAACAGAGCAATTAGAACCCTTCTGTTCTGGCCCCAATCTATTACAGTTCATTAAACTGCAAAGAATTAAAGATCTACTTTAAAATTAATCCAATGAAAAGGATCCTCTTGAAATCTGATATGCAGATAGAAACTTCTTGCTATGTAATTGCTCTCAGCTTTTTGTTCTCCTAAACTAACATAAGACAAAAACTAAAGGAATTTTAGGATTTATTTCATGTTTTGATGGAACTAAGAAAAAAGCGTATCACTCTTCTATTTAAATAGAATCTGTCACATTTGATTTCCAAAAATGGCATACTACTGACTATACATACAGCATGCAAGTAGTGCATAATGTAGTCAATAAAGATTGCCAGTCCTTCTTGGCTCTTCCTGTGCCCTGATAATATTGATTATTTGTGGTTTTGACTCTGCATAAATGACATTACTCTTGCCTCTCCCAAGTATCTCATGTTGTATAATAAACTTTCCCAGTTTACAAAGTTACTTCGTATTCTATCTGAAGCTTCCAAAGAGTACTAGAAATGACTTGCCCTAATGTCATTATCAGTTTTTTTAAAAATGCAATTATTGTCCTGGATACTGATCTAGTAATTCTAGTTCTGGAAATATGGAATATCTCTCTAATTAAAATAAAACGTGGAATGTGTTGAGTACAATTAAGCTATTAAGATTAATCAGAAAAATAAAATCCATCAGTAGCAATCATAGTGCAGTTCTTTAAGAGACAACAACCTCTATGCAGCCAGCAATCTCAAGTTTCTAATGGGAAAAATTCTTTATATCAAAAAGAATCAAATGCACTAATTCACACTTTTATTTTTATTATATTATGCCAATAACCATGATTACAAGGGATGCAAAAAAATTTTCCCATGAGGAAGCTGAAGTATTTCTGTTACCTGGGCAAACAGACTCATTTTCAAAGTTGACAAGTTCTCCCTGAAGTCCTAGAGAGGATCTCATGTCCACTAATTCAGATATTGCAAGTATTCTACATCTGAAGGAACTCCTAGCTAAACCCAAGACTGAACAAGGATATTTATCATCTTTAAATTTAGAATCATCCCATCTATCAGACCTTCCTGTCTATGTGATCTATATCTGAAGTGGACTCTCCCAGTTATTTTATATCTTAAAACTGCTTATTCTCATCATGGTATCTTAAATATTTTTTGTTTATTCTTTCTCCTCCATGAGCTTACAAGCTCTCTCTGTCTTGTTCATTTACCTAAAGGAAAGTATGTTATTATGTGTTAATATTTTTCCTAACAAGCTGCAAAATCTTCAGGGAAGGGATGCAGATTCAAATGAAGGCAAAGTAACATACAGAAAACATTTGTTGAGAAAAAAATCCGGATATTGCTTTTTAAAATATTTTCCATATAACATTTGTTTAATGAACTGTTGACACTCAGGCTAGTATTCTTCACCACAGATCCTTTATACCAATCTCACCTCCTTTCAGAAACAAACTAAAGGTTCATGAACGCCTTCCTCTGTCAACACTCAGGTACTTCTCCAGCTAAGAACAAAGCTTGAGGCAAGCGCCCACCTGAGCAAGGGAGGATTAATTTCACTAGAGAGCGAATCGTATTTTCAAAGAAATACGAGGATATGCTATAGAACATCACGGAATATCCACGGAATATCCTCGCATGTGATGAAGCTGGCCTGCTTCTTTCTGAACTTTTCACATCCTCTTCACTTTTATTAGGGTTGGAATCCGTCCCCTTCCCTCCTCCTTCCCGGGTCGCAGTTGTAGAATCGCTTGCACAATGAATTTCGCACGGTCATCCTACCTGGACGAGGTCACGCTCGCTACTCCAAAAGCCCCCACACTCTTTTCAGCACAGAGAGGCAGACAGCAGCTCGCTTTTAGGCGGCAACGCAAACGGACGTAGCCAACTGAGCGACAGCAAGCAACCAAAGGGCTTTGCTGGTGGCCCGCGGCGTCGCACGGGTAAAGAAAGCCCTTTGCCAGATACAGTCCCCTTAGCTATTCCCATGCTAGCTATTAGGAATAACACGCTCTTTTCTCATGCGTTCTCCTCTACCTATTCGCATGCTGGCTACTGCCCCTTCTTTTCTACTCCCATTCTCATTCATGGACTTATCAAGGCTGCGAGGGGATGCGCAGGCTTCCCGGCGCTCACGGGGACCGCCCGGGTCTCCGGCTACCCCCAAATCAAGCCACCTTCTCTCTTTCGAACTGCGCTCCAGTTTACAAACCGTTTTCGATTTGGTTTGACCCTCCCTCCAACCCTGAGAGATGTACGTCGTTGTCGTCGTGCCTATTTTACAGATGAGGAAAGGATCCGGTCCAAGATCCAACCCTAAGGGCCGCCCTCTCCCCAGTGGTGGAGGAGGCTTCCAGGCAAAGGGACGAGCAGGTGTGACGCCCGCGGCTCGCAGCCTCTCACCTGGCCGGCAGACTCGGCTACTGCCTCCACTCAGCGGCCAAGGATGTGGGCCCCGCGGCGGCGGCCGCCGCTCGGGGTCTCCCGGGGCCCCTCTCCTCCGCCAGAGCTCGGCCCCGGACCCCAGACTCCAAAGCGCCTCACGCGCTCCCCTCTCGGTCTCGCCGTCCGATCTCGCCAGACAGCGTCTGAAAGGACCCGGGAAAACGCGGCGTCCGCCACAGCCGCCCAGCGCCCGGGACCCACGCTCCGAGGCGACGGCGGTGGCGGTCACCAGAAGGCCTGCGGGCTCTGGGGAAAGAAACAGCCGTCCACAGTCAAGCGGCTGACATTTCCCAGTCAGCGAGAGCCCCGCCCGCTTCCGGCTCCCCGCCTACCCCGTGGGCCTGCCCGCCCCGCGCCCGCAGGGGGTTGTGGGTGCCTCGGAGGCGGGCAATGCTGCAAAGGAAGGAAGTCGTGGCGAGCCGGTGCGACCACGAGACAGGGCGCAAACTACAATTCCCAGCAGGCTGTGGGGGCCGCAGACGGCGGCCGCGAAGGAAAGCGAGCAGAAGAGCCCTGCGCGCGCGGCGGGGATGGAACGTTGCTAGAGTGCGCGGGTATTGCTGATAGAGGATCGAGTGCTCCCCCGGAGCCGCCGCGCGCCAAAGCGGGAATCCGGGAGGCGGGCAGCTCTGCAATTAATGCACGCATTTAAAACCTCCGAACTTGCGGACGCCATGCACAGGTAAACCGATTGCAAAAAGGGGCAGAGATGAATGGACCCTCTTCATTCTTTTAGGCCGTGAATATTAAAATACTTGCTAATATTGTTCTAATGTTGTTCTGCGAATGGTTGCTTAGCCACTTCTTGGGGAGAGTGTGGATGGATGGATGGATGGATGGATGGATGGGTTAGTGCGGGGATCAGCATGCGGTTTTACTTGGCTTCCCTAATTAGGCTTTCCTGCTACCGTTTTAAATCACTGTATGGTTGCCCTCCCTCTTTCCTTGTCTGTTCCCTCCACTGGAAGAAATTCTTGAAGCCTCCTTCGTGATCGTAAATCAAAAAGCCTTTTCGATTTGTTCTGTCATTTCCTCTTTCATTCTTGGTAACTCGCCGCGGGCACGTAAAAATGCAATTCTTTTAGCTGCTGTGAAGGTTTCCTACGTGCATAAATTGCAGTTTCTTTTATGCCTACCTTGGACTTATTTAGGGATGTGCTTTCGAAAGGAATGGGGGTATTGTGCAATTCTGCAGGAAGCACCTCCAGGAGATTCCAGACCAGAGTAGCAACGTTACCACCAGCTTCACGTGGGGATGGGATTCCAGCAAGACTTCTGAACTACTGTCAGGCATGGGGGTCTCTGCCTTGGAGAAAGAGGAAGTGGACAGTGAGAACATCCCCCAGGAACTGCTCTCAAACCTGGGCCACCCGCAGAGCCCTCCAAGGAAACGGCTGAAGAGCAAAGGGAATGACAAAGACTTTGTGATCATCCGCAGGCCTAAGCTAAATCGAGAGAACTTTCCAGGTAAGGTATGAGGGTAAAACTATAAGTTATGTCAAGATTGTACTGTTTTCGTTGGTAAACCGTTTTTCAGGGATCTTTACTGTGGCTACCTTTTAAAATTGCCTAATTCTTAAGTTATTTTTCACTTAAAATGAAAATAAAATGGGACAAGTCATTGAAGTATACAAGAGTCTTGGTAGGTATATATCTTCTGGTACACAATCAACTTGAAAATTTTAACCCAGGAGACATTCCCGCCTTTTTCCTTGAAAGGGAATCTGCCCTGCTCTAAGGCCAACTCAATGCCACTGATAAATGGAAACACAAACAGTGATCTTGTCGTATTCTTTCTGTGTATAACCTGCCACTTTGTACCCCTGAGTGAGCTTTTTGCCTTAATTACTTTAGTTATTTATCAATGGACTGCTAAAGTGAATGTTCAACTAAGTGAAGGAAATCTATCTCCCCAGGTCCTCTTTCAAATGAACTTCTCCTGGTATGTTCTGTCTCCATTACTTCTGGCACTGTTCAGTTACCCAACCCCAAAAACCTGAGAGTCAGTCAGATTCCTACCATTTCCCAACATCCAATCAGTCATCCCATCTTTCCCTCTTGTCTAGCAACTATTTCTCAAGCTCTTATCTTCTCTTGCCTGAACTCTTGGAATGCACTCCTAATGCCAGACTTCTCCCCAGATCATCCCCCAGAACTAGAGTGAATTAACTGAAATGTAGAACATTCCCTCTTAATAGCACCCCATGCCTTGTTTTTTCAAGCAGGTGAATGAGTGCCTACCAGAGCAGATGAGAACCCTGGAGCTCCCAAAATCATAGGGTTATGACAAGGGGTTATCAGTTTTTACCAATAAGTCATAACAGTAATACAGCAAATGTTTGCTGAACATTGTGTGCTGAACAATGTTAGGCATTGTTCTAGGTGCTAGGGATATAGCAATGAGCAAAACATAAACATTCTTACCCTCGTGAAGCATCCATTCTATATTTTAGAAGGTAATAACTACTATGGCTAAGAACAAAAATAGAGTAAGCCAAGTGTAAAACTTGGAGTAGAAAGATAGATTGTACTTTTAAACCAGGTATTGAAGGAAAACCTCAACTGAACAGTGACCTTTAAGCAAAAACATAAAAGAATCAACTGTAAATTGGAGAAAAGGTCCCCAAGCAGAAGGAACAGCCAGTTCAGAGACCCTGGTGCAGAAGTATGACGTTTGTTCAAGGAACAAGGAAGTCATATTCCAAGAGTGGAATGAGCAAAGGGGAGAGTTGGGGGAGATCAGGCTGGAGATAGTGTCAAGCAGAGTTGTGATGTGACCTGATTTAACTTTTAAAAGGACACACTGATGTGTTGAAACTATACTTCAGGGAATCAAAAGTAGAAGTCTGGAGACCTGTTAAAAGGTGTAGGAGGAGTGATAAATAGTGATTAGATTCTAAATATATTCTGACATTAAAGTCAACAGAATTTAGACAGTTGTTGAAGTGATCATCTAAACTGAAATTGGGTATGGTGATGATGGAGAAGAGATGGATTAAAGAAATAAAGATGAAATCTTGCAGAGCCAAGATAAATAAGTGTACTCCTACATTCTCCCATCTGACTTCCTATGCAGGAGAGTTGATAGGTTGGCTAGTTGTTACTTTGTTTTTGGCCCTTGCTTGAGGAAAGAACCTTATCCAAGTTATGGTCTGGATATCCACATCAGGACTTGGATTAATTAGAGAGGCAGGAGAGGATTGTACTGAAGTCAGATCTGGATTTGAATCCTTATTCTGCTGCTTACCAACCTTGTGAAATTATATGAGCCTTCTGTGACTTTCTGTATCTGTGAAATGGAGTTCTGTAATAATACTCATATCATAGGTTGTTGTGAAGATTAAAGGAGAGTGCCATAAAGCTCTTAGCATGCCACAGGCACATAACACTCAATAAATAAACCTAATCGATGGTTGATAAAATTTATGATGCCCATTTGAGAGGCTAGTTGACTTTGTTTTTTTCCTTAATAGTGTTGATAAAATTTCTGATACCCATTTGAGAGGTTAGTTGACTTTGATTTTTTTCCTTAATATTGTTAGTCTGACCCTGTTGGTATAGTTTTTTTTCTTCAAAATGTAATGCTCACTGGTATTTTGGTGTCTGAAATGTAACCCTACCAATTTGGTGCTTGACTAACCAGATGTAGTGAGAGATACTTCCTGCTAAAATGAACAGATTTTGACTAACTTGCCCAGCACCAATAGCTTTTGACATGAAATATGATTGCTGTCTGCCCGTCCACAGTCACTTATACAGGTATAAATTACAAAGACTTTTTTTTTTTTTAATTTGGGTTCTCACTCTGTCCACCAGGCTGGAGAATAGTGGCACAATCACAGCTTACTGCGGCTTTCTGGGCTCAGGTGATACCTTCCCAGTAACTGAGGCTATAGGCACGCACCACCGTACCCGGCTAATTTTTTTTTATTATTTATTTTTTTGGAGAAGAGGTCTCACTGTGTTGCCCAGGCTGGTCTCAAACTTCTAGGCTCAAGGGATCCTCCTGGCTCAGCTTCCCTAAGTGCTGGGATTACAGGCATGAGCCACTGCACCTGACCAAAAAATACATTTTTTTGAAGCAAGGCATTGTGGGGACAAGACAAGTTTAAGGGGTGGTTGCTGTCTCCTAGGAATTTGAAAGTTGAGTAGAAAAGACAATATAAAATAAAAAACAGCTCACACAAAGCAAATACATGGAGACTAACAGACTAGCAGCAAATGGCTGTCTCAGGCAGTCAGTACTGTAGAAGACCAGAGGAAGGGAGCCCCTTATGCAAAAGTGATGACTCAGAGCTTTCCAGAGGCGGAATGGCTCCCATAGTGATTCCCCCTCAGGTGGATATGGAAGATAGTACTCCTTCCACTTAGCAGAAATGAGAAAGATCCGAAAACGGTCTAATCAATGTGTAGATTGTTAACACTGACTTCAAAAATATATATCTGAAGTGAGAGAGAAAAAACTGGTTTTGTGTTTGTTATTACTCGAGAGGGGTACAGAGGGAAAGCAATGTGCATGGGCTTACACACAATATAGATTAGTGTGGAGGGAGAAGAGAAAACTCAGTGATGCAGGATGAGGGACAGCAGGTGTGCACAAGTCCCAGTGTGCCTTCGGGAGCCTGGGCCTCCAATGGAGCTAGATCATCATTCCAGGGAGTTTTGTCTGCAGTTGTCAGGACAGGTGGCTAATAGCTATGCCAGGATTCGGGTAGAACAGGCCACACCTGCTGTACATAGATATCTGATGACTGGCTCTGGGCTGTAAGTTTTTGTTGGTTCTTTGCTAAGCCATCTTCTCTGCAGGCCCCAGTGCAGCCTCACATCTGGCAGCTAAATCCTTGTCAACTGTTTGTTTCGGAAGATAAAGCTATGTGGCCAGCCTGTACCAAAACAAGTCTGATTGGCCCTTGGGGTGAGTGTATGGAAGGAGTTGGGAGGAAACTAGCCAGCAGTGAGGTTAGTAATAGGTAAAAGAGAATAATCGCCTTTTATTTATGATCATGAAATGCTTGCCCCCTTTAAACAGGTGATGGCCATGAAACGGAGTTGAACTAATTGGTTGACCAGCTCTTCCATGGTTGTCAAATGCTTGAAATTCCAAACCCCTCAATGATTCTCAGACTGGAGAGACTCAAGTTTAGAGCATATCAGAATCCCCAAGGGAGCTTTTTTGAAGTGCAAAATTCCTGAGATTCTGATCCAAGAAGTCCTGGCTTGAAAAACTGTGTTTTAGCACTCACAGACAAACATTTTTCTCCCAAAACTTTGTTTCATTTTGAGTTGGTATCTCACTCTATTGCCTAGGCTAGAGTGCAGTGGCACGTTGACAGCCACTGCAGCCTCAACCTGCTGGGCCCAGGTGATCCTTCTGCCTCAGCCTTCCAAGTAGTTGAAACTACAGTCACACACCACCACACCCAGCTAATTTTTTGATTTATTGTAGAGATGAGGTCTCACCAAATTGCCCAGGCTGGTCTCATACCTGTAGGTTCAGGCAGTCCTCTCACCTCGGCCTCCCAAAGTGCTGGGATTATAGGCATGAGCCACCCCAATTTTTTCTTTAATATATATTTTATTTGAAAGATGTGGCATACACAAACTTTTTTTTTTTTTTTTTACAAGTAGGAAATACATTTTACATTGCAGTCCTGGGTGTGTATCTGAAACAAACATTTTACAGAACTATATTTCCCCTTACTAAGATATTTTCCGTTCTGTTCTAAACCATTCTTAGAAAAGAAAAAAAAAAATACTAGCCAAACTCATTAAGTTGACTTCATAACTCATTAATGAGTCTCAGCCTATAGTTCTCAAATCTCAACTCTCGAAGAGCCTTTATGCGATCTTTCCCAGTCATCTTTCTTGTTCTATAGCTTCCTTTCATTCATTCATTTTTTTAAACAAATATTTCTTGAGCATCATTCTAGAGATTGGGATTACAGCACTGAACCTTAACAAACAAAAGACTCTGCCCTCATAGAGTTTATACACTGTGCTTTATTTCCCAAATCCCAATTGCCATTGTTCATTTGTTACTCTTCCCACACCCCAGGGTTGAGCAAGTCTTTTCATAGAAATTAAGGGTTTACCAGGCTCGGTGACTCAGCCTGTAATCCCAGTACTTTAGGAGGCTGAGGCTAATGGATTGCCTGAGCACACAGGTTCGAGATTAGGCTGGGCAACTTGGTGAGAGTGCGTATCTACAATAAATTAAAAATTAGCCGGGCATGGTAGCACATGCCTGTAGTTCCAGCTACTCGGAAGGCCGAGACAGAAGGATGACCTGAGCCCAATAGGTTGACACTGGGGTGGTGAGATGAGTGTGCCACTGCACTCCAGCCTGGATGACAGAGTGAGCCTCCAACTCAAAAAAAAAAAAAGAAAGAAAGAAAGGGTTGTGGGCTGAGGGGTACATTGGGAACCCATGTTTAGTTTTGCTGTGTTTTGCTTTTTTCAGTTTTGTC